GTGTGTGTGTGTGTGTGTGTGTGTGTGTGTGTGTGTGTGTGTGTGTGAGAGAGAGAGAGAGAGAAACAGGACATACCACAGCATACATATGCATGTATTATGTTACATGAGTGCCTGAACCCAACTTTTTAAACCTAGCTACCAAACAATGGAATGAAGAATGAGGAGCTGTAGCTTGTGACTGTCATTCTTTAACAACATGCTGCGTGTTCATGTATGCACCCGCTCCAGAGTTTCCTGTGTACAGACACAGTCGTGCAGAAGCTTGTACTCGACCTCACCTCACCTCCTCCCTCACTCCCCAATGACCCACTTATGGCTCACATGACCGTTGTCATAGCTGCATTGTATTCACCTATAGTCACCTTTGCCTGCACCTCCTGCAATGAAACCTCCAAGAAAAACAAGTACCTTACTTATTTAAAACATTCAGTTGTTGACCTGTTTGGCATCTTATTTTCGAACAAAGGGTGTAATAACCAGTTTGGTGAGCTTAATGAGCCAGTGTTCTGAGGTATGTAGAGAACTGTGCTGAGATTTTCTCCAGGTTTTACTGCAAAGTAATTCACATAAATACAATGAAATAGGTGTTATAGCACATCACTTTAAGGTGTGATGTTTAACACAATGGGTAATGTAGTTTACTATACTGTAAAAAAAGAGATATCCTACCTGGCTGACTGCGTTAGTTATGGCAGTTGTTTCCTTTATTCTTTAGTGAGATGTCTTCATAAATTGATTTTTTTTTTTTAAATCTCACCAGCACAATCCCTTCTTTATCCATGAATGCATGATGTTTTATTGTTTTGTTACTTGTTAAAATAAAGACAAAGGGTTCAACATAAAGACAAAAATTCTCAATTAAATAAATTTAAATTAAAGAATAAAATGGACTATATACTCACTCAAGTGACAAAAAGGGTAGTTTAAGTGAAATAACAACATTTTGGTACTTTGCACTTAATAAACAGAAGCTCCAGTACCACATTCCGGTATAGATACTGTGATGGATATGTAGCCTGTTGAAACATAGTATTTAGTACTTTCTTTATTTTAGTTTTTTCATGCTTCACTTGTATATGGTAGGTGTCTATAATGTAACTGTATGTGGTATTCTAGCTTTTTCATTTTTTACTTCTATCTGCATATCTCCTGCATCAGATCAATAAAGTTGATCTTATCTTATTGTATTTAAATATTTAATAACCGCTTTGCACGTAAGCAACCCTTACAAGGACTGTTAGCATCGCTCTTGTAAGAGGAGATTTTATCTTTTGTGCTTTTTTTCATAGGGGCGATCAACGAGATGGCCACTCACCCCGGATACTACGAAGACCTGGTGGAGAAGTCGTTGGGCAAATACAACCTGGCCACAGAGGAGATAGAGCGGGACCTGCACCGCTCTCTCCCCGAGCACCCAGCCTTCCAGAATGAGATGGGCATCGCTGCCCTCCGCAGGGTCCTCACAGCCTACGCATTTAGAAACCCCAGCATTGGATACTGTCAGGTACACGCACTCCTCCTGTTTGGATTTTGAACATGAACTGGCAGAAACCTTGTAATCCTTGACAATACTTGAGTTCATTCTTCTCTTCCTCGACACCACAGGCTATGAATATTGTGACATCTGTGTTGCTGCTCTACGCCAAAGAAGAGGAGGCTTTTTGGCTGCTTGTGGCGCTCTGTGAGAGGATGCTGCCTGACTACTACAACACTAGGGTTGTCGGTCAGTATGTGCTTCTGTAATTTAGGGTGTTTGTTTGACAGCTTTCCATTGGTTTAACATCCTCTTCTTTTCACCACGTATTCCCCAGGAGCCCTAGTCGATCAGGGGGTGTTTGAGGAGCTCGCCCGTGAGTACGTTCCTCAGCTGTACGACTGCATGCAGGACCTCGGGGTCATCTCCACTATCTCCCTCTCCTGGTTCCTCACCCTCTTCCTGTCCGTCATGCCGTTCGAGAGCGCAGTTGTGGTGGTGGACTGCTTCTTCTACGATGGCATCAAGGTCATCTTTCAGCTGGCGCTCTCGGTGCTGCACGCCAACATCCACCAGCTGCTGGGCTGCAAGGATGACGGAGAGGCCATGACTGTACTGGGCAGGTAAGGAGAGGCAAAAGGGACAAAATATCTAGCTTCTGACTGTTTAGGGTAACTCTAAAACCCTAAAAAACTACTTCACCATTTATCAGATATTTTTATCCCACAAGCCTGAAATAAGTCTAATATTTGGTAAATCATTTGTGTGTTGTAGATACTTGGACAGTGTCACCAATAAGGACAGCACCCTCCCTCCCATCCCCCACCTGCACTCATTACTGACAGACAATGGAGAACCGCATCCAGAGGTCGACATCTTTAAACTAGTCCGCAGCTCCTATGAGGTATTTAACCTGGACGATAATGAGTCTGTCGTCCTCTGTGTTTGGTCGTGAGACGTGCAGGGGAAAAAGTACAAATCTGACATTTATCAAGTGCCTCATAATGGAGTTTTGTCATCCATTTTCTTTATCGAAGAAGCTGTAATGAAATCTAGTATGTTTTCAATTTATATGATTTGAACTTTAATTTAATTTAACTTTAAATATATCTGAGAACACACAGCTGTCTGCTCACCATGATGCAACTGTCTCCAGCCTTCCACAGCTGGGTTGACCTATATTTCTCCATGTTTGTCCTTCTCTTTGCATCAGAATTTTGGTTCAATCCGTGCAGATGTAATTGAACAGATGCGATTCAAACAGAGACTGAGAGTCATCCAAACCATTGAAGATACAACAAAACGCAACGTGGTAAGGACCCCCTGATATAGCTTTATTGATACTAGAATTAGACGCATGTTTAAAAGTACTGTATTTACTATAATGTTCTTGTTCAACCCGCTTGTGCGGATAGCAGAACAGTAATCAAGCGCCTACAAAATTCTCTTAGTGCTGCAGGTCAAATTAGATTTGCGCTTTTAATGCGACATCGACATTCTTGTCATGATGAGATACTCTGCTCTGGTCACGCCTAACATTATTCTCTTTCTTCTATTTATACTTAACGTATTTATACTGTGTGTTTTAGGTGAGGACTATTGTAACAGAGACTGCCTTTAGCATGGACGAGCTGGAGGAGCTCTATATGCTGTTCAAGGTGAGTTACAGCTTACGTATTCATGTTGTGTACCTCCAGCAAACACTTACTGTTCTGCCACCGTGTTTTTACAGTTTACTTTTTACATTTAAGTTTTCTTAATTTGCATACGAAATTGCACAGTACTCACTCGTCTCTTCCTCTCTTCAGGCAGAGCACCTGACCAGCTGTTACTGGGGCGGCAGCAGCAACTCCACTGAGGGGCATGACCCCAGCCTGCCCTACCTGGAGCAGTACCGCATCGACGTGGAGCAGTTCAAGGGCCTGTTCAACCTGCTGTTCTCCTGGGCCAACGGTGCCCACTCGGACCCTCTGGCTTTGCGCTTCTTCCGTCTCCTTGACCAAAACGGAGATGCTCTCGTCAATTTTCGGGAGTTCATCAGTGGCCTTGGTAAGACTAGTAAGATGCCTGTGTAAATATTCACACTGTCATTATTCTTGTATTGTATCCAAGATTATATATCTAATTTAGAAACAGTGAGATGTTTCTAAACTCTAAAGCTTGTTGGTTTTAGGTGTCCTGTGTCACGGGGACCTCACTGAGAAGCTGAAGCTCCTCTACAAGATGCATGTCATACCTGGTGAGTGCGTGCATAGATGCACTTCAATAAAAGTCGTCTTTAGGAAACTACAGAAGATATTTCATTTCAGTGGAGGAGGATTATTAGCTGTGCAGAAAAGAGGTGGCTCAGTGAAAAATGTTTGAGAGAAAAAATGTTGAGCTCTTTGTCACACTTCACTCGGCAATTCATTTTCTCAGTATTTACTTTGTCAGCATGCTTTTCTGTAAAATGAGATAACTGGCGGTATTTTGCCTTTAAGTCCTGAATTTAAAGGCATACATAGGTTTCACTTTTATTAGCATTTCTTATTTACATTAAAAACTGATGAGCCTAATATTTTCTTATATTATTTTTTAAAATCATAATCTGGGATAAAATGACAAAGAAAGGTTGACAGAACGTTTTCACAAGCCAAGTTTGTGAAACTCCTAATTTCTTTGCCCCCAGAAATCATTCACGAACCTGAAGAGCCTGACTCTGCCTTTGAGGCCACACAGTACTTCTTTGAAGACATCACTCCAGAAACGTCCATCGGTACGAACCCAAGATCAACTTTTTTTGCGATCAAATTTGTGTTGCGTTGACGACATCCTTTCCATAATAAGATCACTATGCAGGTGTACCACAATAATATAATATAACATCAACATAAACTTTGTTTGTCGCAAACAGTTTCAATTTTTCCAACATTTCTTAGCCACCTTACCCTCACCACAACACCCTCAAGATGAAATATTTAAAAAATGGAGATAACAGATGAAAAAATAAATTGCATAATAAAATTAAATATAATTTTAATGAATAAAACAATAGAGGAAAACAGAAATTACCTTAAGAACCCAATTCTGCCAATTACATAGTAAAGATAAAGTTAATACAAAGGGGGGAAATGATGTCATCACTTCAGAACTTCACTTCACAATTATTTAGCAGAAGACATTTCCCCCCGAGTCATTTGTTGTGCTTTTGTTCCCAACAATGTTGCTGTTTATAATATTAAGGACTTGAGATTCCCATTGTGATATTTGCACAAGTGAAATTAGTTTTTGTGGTCATGGGCATGTGATTTGTTGTGAAAAGTGTGGGTTGTGTTAACCTTGAAGCCGCAGACATCGCGTGCCGCTTGCATTGGGTACGCAGACATTGATGAAAGCATGAGCACAAAAACAAATGTGTGCATAAGTGAAACTATGCTTGCAAAGGCACAAGCCTGCAGGAGAATCCTGTTGTTGAATGTGCAGAAGACAGAGAAACTGCCTCAAACAGCTTTGGCTGATCCGAGAGCTGTTGTTTAGACATTCAACTTTCAATAGGCACTGACGATATACTGTTATGCTATATCCTGTCCTGGATGTAGAGAAGTAGGGCAGGACTCTACTGCAAGAAAATACAGTATATTTAATTTAGTTTAATATTATATGAGGATGCTGCTAAAAGATGGGTGCTGAAAGTCCAGTCTAGCTGTTGGATTTGGATAATCTGTCTTTTTTTTTTATTTTATTTAATTTAATTTAATAACAAATGGTTGATGTTTGATCCTCTCTCCTCAGGTCACGACTCAAAGTGCAGAAGTGAGCGGGATGATGGCTTTGTCAGAGTTACATTTAAGACTGAAAAAGGTATGCAGCATAATGCAAAAAGAATGTAAAAGCCTGAATGTATAGATCTCATACAACATACTACACAGTCACATTTGTCTAAAATGAGCGAAACAATGTTTTGTCTCATTTCAAATGGCAAACAAAACAAGTGTGAAATTGCCTTTAGTCTCAATTAGCAGCCAAGAAAACTCCTGTTGTGTTCACACAAAAGGTTATTGATTCAAGATAATGGGTGATTTTCATGGACTAAACAGGATTGTAAAGTTTCCAAAACATGTAGGCAGACATTTGTTTCAAAATGCTTTTCTAAAACCAAAATATGACTTAATTACACGTTCTTTGTACATCACACAGTGAAAAAACTGAACACTCCTGAATATCGCCATTACTTGAAACTGTGGAACCAGGAGACGAAAACTAAACTAGAAAACACAAAAGACTTCCCCAAGCTGAATCAGGTAAGACTTCACCCTCGGTATCAGTTGTTGTATACAGTACGTGCATAAGAAACTCTGTAGTTACAGTACAGTATAACTGACCTCTTGTGTTTTTTTCTCCAGAGCCAGTTTATTGAGCTTTGCAAGACCCTCTACAGCATGTTCAGTGAGGACATTGCAGAACAGGAGCTCTATCACGCCACGGCGACAGTCACCAGTCTGCTGCTGGAAATGGGAGAGGTGGGAAAGCTCTTCTCCTCCTCTGGCCGGAAGGACCACAACATGGAGGGTAAATCAGGGCCGAGCATGTGTACCAGAGAAGCCACAGACCCCAAAACCAGCCAGGAGGCTGTGCTCGATGGTCGCGCTGACTGCTTTGCCCCTGCAGGTCCGGAGAACAAGCCGAGCCCCTGTGAGGACGGGAAGGGGGACAGGAAGGGGGACGGGAAGGGGGACGGGAAGGGGGACGGGAAGGGGGACAGGAAGGGGGACAGGAAGTGGGACGGAAGGAGCGAGCAGCTGCCACCTATGCAAGACATCAAGCTGGAGGACTCCTCTCCCAAAGACACGGGCACATCATCCGCCATGCTGATCTCGGATGATGAAACCAAAGATGACACTTCAATGTCATCTTACTCGGTGCTCAGCGCAGGCTCCCATGAGCTGGATGAGAAGATGCAGTGCGAGGACATAGCAGACGACACAGTGCTGGTGCGCAGCGACAACGGCTCCAGTGGCGAAAGAAGAAGCAGCCGGCCTCGCGGCGGCGGCCCCCCCGACCGAGGGCTGCCTCACAGCACGAGCATCGATAAAGACTGGACCATCACGTTCGAGCAGTTCCTGGCGTCTGTGCTCACCGAGCAGGCCCTGGTGCATTATTTCGAGAAGCCAGTGGAGGTGGCGGCTCGAATAACTAACGCCAAGAATGTCCATCAAGTCGGGCGCCGCCTTCTCTCAACGAGTGACTATGAGATCTCGCTATCTGGCTGAGATTTCACACGCAGACTTTTTAAAAAGGGAAACGTGGTTCTCAGTCGTTTGTGAAAAATGTCTCTGTGAGTTTTAGAGGACAATGAAGGTCTGTGAATGTGTATGATAAAGATGGTTGAATGAATGTGACCAAAAACTGCTGTTAGCGATGTATTTTACCAGATGTGAAAGACTTTTATTAAAACAATCACTTGATTCTGTCCAGCGCAGAGGGAATAGGACGTTAATGTTAAGGTTCGCCCAGATGAAGTCGGTGTGCACGTGTCGTAGCTGTACTTTAAAAGACATTATGCATAGATGTTAATATTGTAATCTTCAGCACTCTTAGGCTATGTAGATGTAAATGTCCACAGAAACAGTACAGTTCTAAACTGGGGTATTGATAGTCTACGTACGATCACCTTACATTATATCCAGCCAAATTATCGCTTCCTTACTTTATGATTCCATTTCCTGTCAATCAGAAAACGTTTTTAAGTTTCCCTTCGAATGACAATATGGACAAATACAGACCAAAGCTGTGAAAATTCAATGATGAAGTGAGTTTTCATATATTGTGTAAACTCTCTCTGGCTCCACATCTTTTTAAAGCAATGTGCCACTTTGGCTATTGAGTGGAACTATTCCCTTTTACACACACGCACACACGCACACACACAAAATAACATTGTGAACAATCACTCTTCAGAGTAATATACCCAATAATTGCCCGGGTGTGTTTTCTGCAGTTATTTATTGGTAATACCATTTTTTTGTGACTCACAACTGATGGTTAAGGAATTCATGTGTTCTAAGAAATGATTAGACTAAACATGCTGTTGAATGAAAAGCCTGCACTTTCTTTCCAACATGTGATCCACTAAGATGTTATGGCCTTTTTTTCTTTGTCCACGTTTTAACCTTTTTTTGCTCTGTACATTTTTACGTTGCTGTTTTCAAACTTGTTTTTACGTGTCCAGGTATTTTTACTGTGGATTCCACTGCATTGTGTATCACTCCATCTAATTAAAACTACGGTATGATTGATTCGATGCTGCACAGTAGCCTCAAGCCTTTTTCATTTACTTAATGTATGACCGAGCACACTGTGTGTTACTGCCATCTGGTGGAAGATTATTTATGCTACAATCATTAATTTACATGACATGATTTTTAGCCAGAAAATATGATTTATTTCATTATCATTTGTTCTTTTTAAACGTGTTAAACCTCTATTTACACAACCTAAAATTGGTGCTTTACAGTAAATCCAATATTTCTTATTAGTGCCTGACTAGTAGAGTGATGGAATGTAACTAAGTGCCTTTTTAAGGTACTTCAGAAACTGTTTATTGCCAAGTATGTTTGCAAATACAAGGAATTTGACTTGGAGATTGTTGCTTGACAATAAACATGCAATAGTATAAGTGAAAATAAAAATATGAAAGTTTACAATATGATAAACAAACAAAAGGTTATGTTGAAATAAGTATCTTATTTAAATGTCTTTTTAAAGTATACTTGAACTTTACTTGACTTGCATTTTCGTGTTATTTTATATTTATACTCCAATAAATTTCAGGGGAAGGGAAACATTTTTTTGCAGATTTATATTTGATATACAAAACATATGATCAGTTTCCAAAATGTTACTACTTGTTATAAAGCAGTGGAAGAAGTAGTAAAAGTAGCAATACCACAGTGTAGAAATATTTTACTTAATTAAAAAATATCCATCTATACTTAAAGTACCAAAAGTACTACTCATGCAGAATGATCTATTTTGGAATAATATATATTATATTATTTTTTATTACTAATCTGAATCTGCAAAGTCATTCAAAACATGTGGTTGAGTAAAAAGTACAGTATTTGCCTATGAGATGTAGTGGTTTAGAAGTATAAATTAGCATAGAATGGAAATACTCAAGTACTAATATTTCAAAATTGTACTTAAATAAATGTTAATATATTAGTAACCAAAATCCACAAGGGCAATTTTGATGCATAATGAGCATATTTCCTATATTTAAGTTGAATGAATGCAGGACTTTTACTTGTAACAGAATATCTTCACATTACACTCTGTTATTATTACTTTTACTTTCGCAAAATATCTGAATACTTCTTCAACCACTGATCTAGTAGAACTGGAGTATTAATACAGCAACATGTTCATTATGAAAGAAGTACATGCGCATCTATCTTGCCTACAGTGGTTAATGTAACTTAGCACATTTACTCAAGTTCTGTACTTAAGTACACATTTAAGGTCCTTTATTTGAGTAATTTGTTTTCATGTTACTTTATACTTCTACTCTTCTACAATTCAGAGGGAAAGTGAAAAACATGCACCTTGAGTAACACCCGTATCAAACCTCAGTTGGTCACAGGTCCTCCCTTTCTCTCTCTCTCTCTCTGTGGACCGAACACACTGGGGTTGTGGCTCAGGTTGACCAATCACAGCAAAGTCAGCTCACTTAAAACTGGACCTTCTGTTTATTGCAGAGACTTCCCCTCTCAGACACACGACAAAGCTATAGATGATTAATCTATCAGAAATGATGTTTTGTTAGAACAGGATAGATGGAAATTTGCTTATAACTCTTCAAATTGTTACGACTCGTCCTTTCCACTAGGTGTCTGTGTCCTGTTTGTTGTCTCTTTTCTGTCTTTTAGGATGTTGATCGTCAGCTGGTGAGCCACACCTCAGCCTGCTGTGGTTCCAGCTTTAAAGTCTCTTTCCTGGCTGACACGGCTGCTGTTTTTGTTTGCTCCAGACATCCACATATGCTGACATCACTGATTACTGACTCTCCATGTTTAGTTTAGTTTATCTGGTCTCCCATTTATGTTGCAGCCATTGGTTGTAACAAAATTAAAAAGTCTCTTTTGAGGTTTTAGCAAATCTAAGAAATATGGCTACACTATTTCAGTGTTGATTTTTAATAGTCACTGATTACATGGAGAAAGACATGAATGAATGGGGAAACAAGATGCTTGAGAGGATTCCTTCAATGTCTTAGGAGATGTCTATAGTTTTGCTAGTTGAACCTAATAAACTGGTAACTGAAATTTTCTTCCCTGTTTCTTTTTCCCCAAATCACATTTTCCCGTAATCCCTATACTAACTGAGAAGCTACATGGGTTGGATTTAGGAACAGGTCTTATGAAACAGGCCCAGGCACTGCCAAACTGCTGAGAGGCCGAACCCAATGTGGCAAAGTTCTTATCTGATGCATTGTGAACTTCAGTCACAAGCTCAAGTCACCCCCCCCCCCCCCCCCGCCCCAACGTTTTAAAAAAAAAGTCAGTGCCCTCTTCTATAAAATTGTGCAAAGTATACTAATAAATCATAAACTGACAACAGGATATAATACATTTTACAACAAACAAATGAGCAAGTACTTTATGATACAATAACGCCATTACAAAAGTGAAAGCGCAACGTGTTGAAGCTCTAAACGTTTTTAGCCAATCAGCTCCAAACACTTTCTCTGTTAAACCAAATGATAGTGCTTTATTATGACTGTGGTTTTGGTGAAGACACTCGGTTGAATAAAGTAAATAATTACTTAATATGAAGCGTCAGATACAGGACAGAAGGAAGATCTACTTACTGTACTGAATGAGAATGGATATCGTGTTGATTTGAAGGCAAGAAATTACAATTTAAAAATATTAACAATGGTTTTTAGATAGTTTTGGAAACCGCAATTTGGATGAAAAGGTACTGATGTTACAGTCCTAGAATGGGGGAAGTAAAATAGTTGTTTTTCCGATATGTGCCTGCACTGTGGGGTAAATTGAACATTGACTTTCTGACAGTCTGTGGACTTTGATTTGACCCTTGCAGCAGTACACAGTAACGCCTCTCTGTAAATGCCATAAAAAAAAGCCGGCCGGATAATATATAAATACAGAGCTAAAGATGCATCTTTCTTTTCTGCGGGGCGGCACCTTTTATGGATTATAATCTGGCCAATCAAATCCTGCTGGTAGCAAACTACTGACGATCAAAGGGAACCTTAAATTTTAGACAAACAATGTAAGTATGTTTTATGTTTTTATCATCGATAGGCTGTTAAAGGATTCACTAGTCTTTTAAAGGAAAAGATGAATGATTAGATGTATATGGTGTTTTTCTCCTGGTAACTTGCTCTGATTGTGTGTGTTGGTGCTTAACTGTAAATCCAGTATTGGGAAACATGGTGGGACTTAAACCGTCAGATGTTCCCCCTCCACTGGGGGTGAAGATGGCGAGTGCTGGGGCTGCAGCCTGTGTTGCTGACCTTATCACATTTCCCCTGGACACAGCCAAAGTCAGACTACAGGTATATATGTTCAGTGACACTGACAAAGAAAGAACAAAACCATTGCTAACTCATCTCCAGGATTACGTAACATGTTTCCTTCACATTTACTGCAATGCATCAGATATATTATTGTGATAGTGATCTTTAGTTGTTCTAACTTCGGTGTTTGATGTTGGCTGCTATTGACTGAGCAGCTTGCCTTAGTCCACCTCCTTCCCCCAAAATCAATTGCACTCATCAACACTTTTGTAGCAACACGCTGCACCATTTAGTCTAAAGGTTCTCTACTTTTGTTCTGTGAAGCTGGTTTTAGCCTTGAGTGCAATCTGAATCTGTGACCCCAGATTCAGGGAGAGATGAAGGGAGTGGAAGGCATCCGCTACAGAGGGGTGTTTGGGACGATCAGCACCATGATCCGAACGGAGGGGCCCAGGTCTCTGTACAACGGGCTGGTAGCGGGGCTTCAGAGACAAATGTGCTTCGCCTCCATCAGAATCGGCCTCTACGACACCGTCAGAGATTTCTACACCGGTGGCAAAGAGAGTAAGTGGTTGCTTTTGAAGTACATGCAGGGGCAACAGTGGAGGGATCCCTTATCCAGCACTGACAGATGTACAGCAGCTTCTGTATGTACAATATAGATAGGAGTAATAGCTATAGAATATAACAACTAAATGAAGTACACAACATGTAATATTAAGTCAGTATCAGGTGCCATAATAATTTAGAGTAAAGTGTATGTACTTTTATTCCACCGCTTGTTGTTCCTGTCTTTCCCCCTCCAGACCCCGGTATACTGGTAAGAATCCTGGCTGGCTGTACCACAGGCGCCATGGCGGTGTCTTTTGCACAGCCCACCGATGTAGTTAAGGTTCGATTCCAAGCCCAGATGAAGCTGGACGGTGTGGCTCGTCGGTACACTGGCACCATGCAGGCCTACAAACACATCTTCCAGAATGAGGGCATACGCGGACTCTGGAAAGGTGCCTTTTAGGAAGTGTGCTTCAAAATGAGTTACTCATTGGGGTGTCGCCTGCCATGAAAATAAGACCCAGAAATGATGTATAAGTGACTAGTGATCAAAAAGCTGTCGTTCTTTTCTGGCTTCTTTAGGCACACTGCCTAACATCACAAGAAATGCACTTGTCAACTGCACAGAGCTGGTTACATACGGCCTGATCAAGGAGGCCATCCTTAGACACAAACTGTTGTCAGGTGAGTGAGAGAGCTCATGCATGTTTGCCTTTGTTACAACCACACACACACACACACACACACACACACGATATCGTCCCAGACAGCTGATTGGGTTAGAAATCCACACACCCTCCCACCCCTTCAACTCCACCACAGCTGATAACAGCTGGTACAGTACATGGTGTATGTTTCCCTCACAGTGCTGTAAATAGTAGTTGATACAACAATTATTTATATTGCCCCATTCACAAAGTTATATAACCTGCTGACATGAGTTGCTATAGTGCTCAGCTCAGAACAAAGGCCCTCCGGTTACTCTCTTTAGTTGTTTAGTTAACAATCTTTCTCTCCACAGACAACCTTCCTTGCCACTTTGTATCCGCGTTTGGTGCCGGCTTTGTCACCACAGTGATCGCTTCCCCAGTAGATGTGGTGAAAACTAGATACATGAACTCTCCACCTGGTCAGTACAAGAGTGCTATTAACTGTTCCTGGACCATGATGATTAAAGAGGGTCCGACGGCTTTCTACAAAGGGTGAGCTCCTCCTCTCTGACGCTAGCACACACTCATTTGTTTAGGAATATTTGTACTTGAGGTCATTTGATAAAATTGTTTTAAGCAATGCTGCATTTGTGGATCTATTTTAGCTTTCATTTTCTCTATTTCCTGTAGATTTGTGCCCTCATTTCTGAGGTTGGGATCGTGGAACGTTGTGATGTTTGTCTCTTTCGAACAAATCAAGAGAGCCATGATGGTCACTAAGAAGAGGGTTGAGGACAGGAATTGAAGACTCCCGTTTGATAGTTTGACTGAAACATCGGAACCACCACTGTGTTGGAACATCGATGAAAGAAAATCAACTCACATTTTAGTTTGATTCTTTTTGTGTTATGGTGACAAAGAACAAAATCCTTTGTTGAAAAAGGAATATTGGAGTTAAGTGTACCTTGTATTTGACTTCATGTTGAACTGAAATGCATTTCTATCTTTATATTTATCATTTTTTCATAGTTAACCCATTTGGTATTTAATGGGAGTGAATGGAGCTACCACTCTGAATCTAAATCTGCCAATCATACATTTTAGGCAGTTTACAGCAGTGCACCTTTAAATAATACTGGTGCCCACAGCAAAATGTTAAACAGATTTATATGAACTCTACTTTCACCACAAAAAAACACATTTCAAAACATTAAAATGTGTATTTATTACCTTTGAGTCAGAAGTGTTAGTCATTACATACTTTACTCAAAAGCCAAACACAGAATAAAAATGCAGTCTTCAGACATACAAATTTATGAAAATGGAGGCAAACAACCAGTTTGAGTTCCACATCACCTATATTACAGGATACAGATGCCATCCACGGGGACATATTAAAACATGCACAAATGTAGCCGTGATCGCTGGACATAATTATATTCCTGAGCGGAACAAGTGTCACAACACACAAGTCTTGCTTACATAAATACAATCAAGACAGCTACAAATATGGTAGTTAATCGCCACTTTTCAATAACCGTCTTATAACCAACAAATTGGCGGCTTGCTCACTGAAAGTGATTAAATCCTCACAAAAGACAGACCTGTTATCTCTACAGCAGCTCTCATGTCTCCTTCACAAAGGTTAAACAAACACTGGAATGGTCATTTTTGAGGTACAGAGCGTAGATTTGTGCTCTATTTTGAAACCCTTTACTCTCACAGTAACAAGATGAACAGAGTGTGAACAATGGAAAACAATACCAAATATACGAGGATTCATTTGTTTGAATTCATGACTGACCAAACGGCTTCGGTCAGATTTTTATGTTTATAATGTTCAGCATCGCATCATTGCCTTTCTCTACTCAATCAAACAACATCAGGGGCCATGGAGAGGTATCTCTGAATAATGTTAGTTTTTAGAACAGATAGTCAGTGTGAGGGTAACGTCAGGGTCCTGTAGATGCGTCTTGACTATGTTATGGAATTTTTCTCTGTAGTGATTGAACTCCATGATGCTTTCTGGTTCTTCTGCCACCCAGAACTTATCAAATTCATACGCCAGATAACCTAGAAAAGAAGAAACCCACATTTTAGAGAATTCGTTATAAAAGCAGACAAAACAAAATTTCACATTCTACTTAGTTTTGTACTTTTCTAGAAGATGGGACAGAATCAGAAAACTGATGCGATTTCCTTCACTCACAGTATAGCTGATGAAAGTGTCGGAGCTCAGGTGTGCCCAGTACTGTGTTGTAGAAATGGGGTTTCAAAGCACCACTCTTCAGGAGACTGTAGGCCATCTCTGTCAAGTTGATCCCAACGATGGCATATGAATACCTGAGTACATGCCAAAAGTGACGGAACATAGAAAGTGAATGATTTAGGAAGATCAAAGTTTTGCCTGAAAACATGCAGATATTCCATGTTTGTATATGAATGCATCTTACCCTAGTTTAGGATGGTTTGCATGAGACAACACCTGACGAGCCTCCTCCGTGTAGTTTTCACTGAAAAAACTGTAACAGAAACATTTCAGTAGAATCATTGTTTAAATAGTCGTACAATTTGCCTGCAATTTCTAGTTTAATCTACAAATAAGATCACGTTCACCAGTAATCTTGTACTTGCCGGCAAAAACCATAACCCTTAAAAAGGTGAAGTCAAGTGATTTTACAAATCAAGGTCTGTCTAATGGTCTTCAGGAGTAGTACTGTATAAAGCCTACTGTGGCTTCAGGAGGAGCTGCATGAAGTCTGAAAAGTCAGAAATTGTGTAACATGATTTGTCAATTGGGGTTGAAAAAATATGTGGGTGTAGAGTTAGACAGTAGTAAGCTTACCAGACCTTGAAGCTACATTAGCCACAATCATAATACACTCGAATCTCCGACCCAACTGTCGGTGGTGTAGGCATAAAGTTTTGACAAGGCAGTAAAATGCATCGATTTTGATTCTATAAAAAAATCTTCACCATGAATCGGACAATGTTACAGGAGTGTAGTGATAAATTGGTGGGGTGGTCTTTAAAAACAAAAAAATCCAACGTGCTACAGTTTCTTATGGTTAATGTTATATTCAAAATGCTGAAGTCGTTTTGTTAAATGCATCTTTTGTAAACTTAACTAATGTGTATCCGTGTGGGTAGTATAGACTCGAATGATCTGAAAAAGGCACAATTGTCCAATGATTGTCAACCCGTTTTAGCCTATGGACTCCTCTGTGTTTTAAATTGGTCATAGCGATAACTGCCTCTTGTAATACTGATTAGGGGTTTGATAATTCCACAGTGTGTTGTTTTCTTTGAGAAGACTCAAGATGATAATGTTCCTCTCTCTCTCTCTCTCTCTCCCTCTCTCTCTCTCTATTCTGCCACAGCTTTCATCTGTTTGAGAAGTGACAGTATGTTATGCAATACAGGCTACTAGACTGCGAGAGGGAAAACACACAGATAAGCTCCACACAGATAAATCATTAACAGAGATCGGCGAAGCCTCACCGTATATGTGCCTGGTTACATTTTTAGACAAAGATCCTGCAAGGTTCGACAATGCAGCTTTTTCTGAGTGTATAGTTCTAAATATGGCCCTGATTATGTGTGTGCAAATCATTTAAACAATGATGCCATTACGTATTTGGATACACATTTCTACTTGTCTTAATAAGAACGTATGTAATAACTGTTGCTGCAGCAAAGTATGAAGTCCTGATGGCTGTCCTGTGTGGAGTCCCTCAGCAGTTTGGGATTGAATTTTCAGGCTGATATTGACACACAGTGTATACATTGAGGACTCACACAAGGTTGATTAAGCCCAGCATTCCCATTCCTCTGAAGTCAGTCTTGGGGTCATCTCCTTGGAACCCAATGTCTCCCCACTGTTTGGTTATCCTGGAATCCAGTTTGACTGCTGGCATCAACAGGTCCCACAGCTGAGAGTACAAATAATTATAGGGTTAGATTTTAATTGTCACTGTACAGGGTTATAGGTTCAATCATTTTGTGCAGAACATTTTGGATTCATAATCGATACTTTCCATATTTTATTGCACTGTTTAACTGTAGTTTCTCATTCTAAAGCCTGAACTGCTTCTATGTTAGCAGTAGTTGTTAGTTCATGGCATTAAGCTTATTACAAAGTAAGTGTCTGTCAATCAAATCACAAAAATCCACGAGGACTGATCCAGACATATGTATACTTCAGACAGACACTTATTTATTGTGTGGACCAGTAACCAAGCAGTTAAACCATATGATCAACTGGATCCAGAAGCAGTGACACACACACCTTCAACAGCAGGGCCTCGTGTTGTTGGTTTTCTGAGTTGAAGACTTCCTTTCTTAAATCTTCCACAGAGATATACAGGCTGCTGCTTCCTGTTATTTGTAACAGACAGATGTGTAGGCTTTCCTTGAAGCTAAAAAGGTAGAACGATTAAACAAACAATTAATACATTGATTTAAAAATTAAACTTACAGTACACTATGGAAATAAAATAATTGCTGGTGAAAAACAACCTCAAAATAACAGATACATATCCTTACAGTGGATCTTTCTGGGGTTTGACATTCTTCTCTTTCATAATTTGATCCACACATTGCTCTAAATTATCCTTGTTGGTTTCCAAAGCTCCTCTTAAAACCTACAGAGGAGGAAAGCACAGGAGAGGAGGAGGTAGTCACATAAAATGAACGATACAACGAGCAACCAGACAGAAAGATCGCTGCCATATAATCTATGCTGTCAGCCACAGCAAAGAAATACCTTTCAAAGAAAGATGACAAAGCCCTTTTGTTTCTACACCGAATGGACTGCTGATTGGAAAATGCTTACCTAGCTATAAATGACAAGAAGAGTCCATTCATCTAAACTAGGCAAGTGTGTGAAAGATAAGGACTGATTATGCTGACAGGATATGACTCTATTGGAGTTCACACATTCAACAGCCGAACAGATAATGAACAGGTCAGTAGTTTAGAAAGGGGCGTTTCCTTTACCCTTCTCTGTCGGACCACATAGTTTAAACATCAACAATCAGGCTTCTATCTTACATCTGCAGTGAGATTACTGTCCAGATCTACAAAAAAACATTAAAATAAAACTAAAAAGACAATTCATTTGTAACGACTTTAAAACAAAAGCTGAAACCAGAAACCATTTCTACTGACAAATGACCCAAATTATTGACAGTTTAACATAATCGGTATATGTCAACTTGCTGTTGTTCAGCAAGTTTGTGCTAAAGTGATCATGTGTTTGGCTTTACATAAAAGAAACTTTAACTTGAACATAAAATAATAGCAACAGTTATATTGAAAGCTATTCTTGGACCACAAATACTCAAGAATCAAGATGATGCTGGAACAATCCTTTTTATCAGAAACAAAACCATACATACAACCCCTCACCTACTAAAAAAACATAACAGTTAACATGTTCTTACCTTGTTCTTTGATGACCGCAGAGAATATTCTACAACAGGACACAAGAGGCAGATGCATATATTAGAAAGAATGTTTACTAAACAGGAAAAGTAAACCAGATTTGGGATTATTTCATTCACCTGCTTTTGTTGTCCTTGTAGCCCCAGGCTTGTATCCAGAACATATTCTCTGCAGCTCACATGTCCTTGTTGCCTGTCGGATGAACCACTTCAGCCAGTATCTCAGGATGGACGAGTAGATGTACGTCCAGATGTACCCCAGCATCTTCTACAACATGGAGGGAGAAAAGACAGCGGTCACTTGAATTCAAGCAGACGAATTCAACTCAGCTGGCCATCAGTGATTATATATACGTACTATATAGTGATTACTATAAAATGACCAACTAGTTGCCAATTAACTTAATTGGCTCATTTTTACAGCTCTAACTGTTATCTACTTTTTGTAAAGATGGGCATTTTGACTTCTAGCAAGGAATCACATCTAAAAAGCTGATTGTATATTTTTTACGACAAATATTACTCTGCAAAGTAACTTATAACTACCGTTACGATTTAGAGCAGTAAAAAAAACAATATATTTATCTTGAAAGTACTGGAGTAGAAGTGCAAAGTAGCATAAACCAGTATATACAAAGTGCATCTAAATGTAGAAACTAGCTTACATCTAAACTGTTCTTCAGTAACGTTAGCAGAGACAATATATAAGTAGATCAGCTGATCGTACGTCACTGTTAAAATACAAATATATAACGAACAATAAGACGGGATCGTTTTAGAAGGCTCACTGAGAGAACAGCCAAAACAATAGCATTTGTGGTAGCTAGCATTAGCTAATGCTAACTTCAGACAAACGTGAGCAATCAGTTTATGTTGAGCTACAAACATTAGGCGATCAGGTGGCGCTTTAGCAAACAGTCTGCCAACATATTACCAAACTGGTCGCCATTTACCTCTGGTTTTAATGAACCAGCTGCGCTAACTACCATCGAAACTTACAAACTGTTAGCTAACAGCTTTAGACAACAGGTTGTCATTGTATTCACCAAACCGTTTGCTAACGCTAGCTATGTTAACCTACATTTGGTAGCGTCGGGAGCATTGCCTTAGTACTTGATAGTATTTACGAGGAGCAAGTCGCTGAAGTTACTCTTACCTTTCTGTCGACGAATATATATCCAAACGTGTCCTCACTTACAAGCTATCTTCTGTTTGGTACATTAATATACAGCAACGCTTCTCTTGACAACAGTCCGGCTCTGGTGTGTTCAGGGTCTGACTAGACACACAGCTGTTCTCATGCAAGTGAAAACACGCACCTGAGAAATTGAAGATGTTTGGATTATATAGGCACACTTACATTCAACCATTACATTTATATGATTGCCTTTTTTTTAAGAGCGGATGGTTTGCAATTTTTGCAAAAAGATAGCAGACACACTCCCAGAAACTTGGTTTGAATTTATTGTTTAGGTCAATTGACATGACGTCTTTGAACACAGCACAGGCCAGCCGTTCAGTGACAGTCTATCAGCGCCATCTACTGGTCAAACCTCACTACTGTCTGCACCAGGCTGCACTACATGGACTATGCTTCGCAGCTACATAATAATGCAGACAACCTGTCGTCCAAATACTGTGCATCTTAAGCATTAGCTGGATAGTAGATCTAGATCAGTGGAGTGTTAACCAACTGACTCACCATGAAGTGTGTACTACAGACAAAATGAAACTGACTGTACTTTAGATGAAATTAGTCTTCAGATAAGATTGGTTTAAGCTAATAGAACCCATTTTAGCCAATCATTTGCCTTTCCAAATCTTACCACAAGATGATGCCAGATCCACAATATGAGTGTGTTAGATTAAATTGAGAGTCTGTTTTTAAAATGGACCAATCATTTGGCTGTAAATCTCCATTACTCGATACAGATATATCTGACACAGAGTTTTACACTTTCTTTGATACATAAACACACTGTTTACAATGGTTGCAACAAACCACGCACTCTTATTATTAAGTATGTCTGGCATATCAGCAATGCATGCAGCCTATACTGAGTTGCTCACCAATGGTGCACTCAACTGTAATTAAGCTGTGGTCTACCTTCTCAACTAATCAGTCCCTCTGGGCTTTAAATAATGGCAGGAGGTCTACGGTTACTGCATACCAAGAGGAGCTCCTATCTCAGACCCAGGCTATACATGAAAACTGAATTCCCAAAGTAAACCTTAGATTATAATAAGAGTCTAGGCTGGGTCAAGAGAGGAAGTAGCCTGTAATCTTGATATTAAATCAGTTATAACAGCACAGACAGACATTACACACAATCATTTTTATTGCACTGGTTAGGTGATATGTAATTAAATAGTGACTTTGAATGTTGTGCTGTTGTCTCACTTGTCCACATAAAGGGGAGTGTCCTTCAGGTAGCAAGGGATGACACGTTTTTTTAAGAGAAAACAAAAGCAGGGGTCCTTTGGTAAGAAGAAGAATTCTGACCAAACCAACATGTCCTCCAAATTAATGACAATAGTTTTTCAGTGCCTAAAACAACCCACGTGAGCTTTCTCTGATACCTGTCCGCAGGATGACATTGTGTAAGATCCTCCCCAAATGCATACGTCTTTTACAAAGATGATTCTTACCATTCAGTGTTTTCTGATGTCATTATAGTTTAAGGGCCCTGTCAAGGAATATGATCCAAATGCAGACAATTGAGTACACAGGAAGAGTACAGGAATGTAACCCCTAAATGGAGATAGAGAAGCTTAGTGAAATATACAACAGGCAAAGGGTCAGAACCTGGAGGCCAGTCTGAACAGGAATCATCAGTCTATGGATCAGGCAGGTACAAGTTAAAGGGTAACCGAGGATTGAACGCAAACAGCAAGAAGCAACCAAGCAACTTGGATGATAAGACAGGGAATAAGTGTAAATGAGCCAGTTATATACTGCAGGGCTGACGAGGGAAGGTGGAAATAGGTGAGCAGGTGGAAAAGACTGAGGGCATCTGGTGGACAGGTAGAGAATGGCAACAAACCTGTTTTGGGAAACGTTAATGTGGCTGGATGGAGGGACAGGGATGCAGAAAGTGACCAACTGTACGCATGATGTTCAGTTTAGTCGACATGTTGAGATCTACGGTCCTCTGTGACTCTGGAGGAAGCTTTTTATAGTTTCAAAAATTACCTTGATGTTATCAAGAGTGTCAATTATAATAAAATAAGAAGTGTTAACTACTGGTAGGCATATCGAGAAACTACTCATGCTGTTGATTTTCTCTTGTCAGGAACGTTTCGACCCAACACACTGACTAATAGCCTTCACACACTTAAAGGGAACCAATTATTTTCCAATATGCATACTGCATGGTAGAATAGCTTGAAACCACTGAGATGTCTCTCTAATTGCCTTGCATGATATGATCATGTGGCGTGCTACCAGTCTAGGCATGCCATTGTCCAATCCTAACAATTTCTCTGCAGCGGTGAACCACAAAATGCATTAAATATTTGCAATATCTGGTGATGACTAATAGTTCTAATGGGAAATATCTATTTAAACCTTTCATGTATGGATCAAGGGGGGGGGGGGGGGGGATCTTATCATCCCTTTTGTGTTGCAACCCTTTTGTCCACATAACACCTTTTTTATAGCAACTGTTCTGTCATCCACAAAAGGAAATATATTATATTTGGATCAGATATCACATAAAAGTCAGCTAAACTGAAAAAAGCTTCACCTTTGAGAGAGCAGGGCTCGTCTTCTATTAATGTCCTGATTATATTATATGAAGTTATTTATTCAGCCTAACAGACCTCTAATAAACACAGAGTAAAATGTCTTTACTTTGCAGATGTTTTGAGATTTTGTAAAAGATTTTCAATAGATTTTAAAATGAAAATCATCTGGTATTTCCCTCATACTGTACACAGCACACAAGCGATGTCTTCTAAATCCATATACAGGAATGATACAAATAGAACAGCAAAAGAAATGGCATAATGCTCTTGAAATGTTATTGGCTGCATCTGCTGCCAGGATCTAAAAGTAATCAATTTCAAGTGCATGTGACGCTCCCGTGGAAGCCTGCGGCTAATGCAGCACTGCCTCCATTCTCAATCCCCCCCCCCCCCCCATTCATCCATTCATCTGGTTTACTCTCCTGCACCACGTTGCCTGGACCAGTTCAATCTGGGATGGCACACACGCATACCACGAGAGGTCCATTTTGTGAAAGGTCCACTTTTTATAAGCATGAAGAAACACAAGCCTAAAAAAGAGCTCAGAGGCAGCATCCATCGGTCGGACCGCGGTGACTCATTGCGCACGGCCAGTCAGTCAGGGGGGCTTGAATTTTGCGTTTCGCGGTGTATGATCGATACCTCTAAAGAAGAGCCATATACTTGTGGAAGGCGTGGCTTGGTGTCACCGACACAGAGTTGGTTTTCCATATTAATTTCTAGGGTTTAGCCTCTTCTTCCCACTGACACGAACGCGCAAGCGGCACCCCAAAGAACGGGACATTGAATAGCGCCTCTCAAGGTAAGCCACCCTCCTCTTCCTCATTAGACTGTGGTTTCCTTTGTGTCAGATGTTAAAATTTGTCCGCAAGGTCATATTAAATCAGCAAACATCAGTGGCCTCTGTGATGCTGGGGTGGGACGGGGCGGCAAAATGTAGGCTACAGCAGGCTGCATGACATAGATCTTAATTGGTCCGAATAGGTCGTGTGCATCACTTTAATGCATGCAACGTTGTGCGTGAATTCACATTCTGCACACTGTCATTTCTAAACTGTTGCAGGCAAATGACACCAGGGCGTTTCATTGTTGAATATCTACAGACAGGATATGCTTTCCATAAATATTTGCACTTTGACAACAGACACGCAGATGCTTGCAGTGAGAGAGCACAAACAAATGGGCTACACCTGTCTGTGACCCAAAACAGTATTCTGTTTTTAAGTCACATTTAAAAAATATTTTTTCAAGTTACCAAGCACAAGAGAAAGATTATTCTTTATTCTTATAAATATGACCTGATCTGTAAAAAAAAACTATAATGTTTGTTGTTGTGATGATGCTTGTTGTGAGAAAAAGGGAGTAACTGAAAGGACGAGGCTGGGTTTAACCTTAGTTGCATTGTGATGAGCTTCACATTATGCAGAATGGATGATCATCAGTATGTCACTGAAATGTAAATGGCCAACTTGCTCCCGGTGGACTACTGAATTATCAATCGGTGGTTCTTCCTCCTCTTAGGATGAAGCCTTGGCTGTTTTTTATGATTAACGTCTTGATCACAGCGCAAATAATTTGTCTGACTCCAACGAATCAGATACTTCAAACGTCTGCTGACACATTACTTGCAGAATTGGCTCAGATTCTTTTACACTTTTAGGAGAGACATGGAGTCATTCATCTGGTCTGAGATGAAGAGATTTGTGAAACTGAAGGTTACATAATTAGATTTTCTTTATTGGATTCATTACGAGATAAAAGATGATCTGAAGAAACAGTTATTTAAGATGTCAAACCTTTTCTGTTTATATTTCACTAACAGTGGCATGACAGAAAAAAAGGGTTGTTAAATTAAAGATGAGTAATTGTTTTCAGGCAACACTTAATTATTTTTAGAAATGTGTCTTGAGCTGAATTTGTTCAGTGTGCAATTCATAATAGAACACAGTAGTGAACCATTAAACAGATATAACAACAATATCACATGGTTAGCCCCCTCTGTGAGTAACAACAAAGGGGTTGACCTTATACTCCTTATACTGTTACACTGATTAGTATTTTGCATGACACTAAAAAGCAAACACATAAATTAGGAATTTTGGAACCAGACAAGACAGTCGGACCCAATGAAACTCTATTGAAGGTAGAACATCCACAATTCTTAATGAAAAACATCCTGTCAGTATCTGTAAGAACTTTCAGCCTACATATGTCAAAGTTTTATTTCTACACTTTGCTTACTTTACTTCCAGGTTTGTAAACTTTGCTTCAGTCTTATACAGCAATTCTGTATGCTCCCACCAAGTTATTCTTATTTTTTTGTTACTCAATTGGGTCAGGCTATCTTGGATTTGAAATGGATTTGACTCCTTTAGTTGATGTTTATAAGTTATTCGAATTAAAAGATGACACATTCTTACAATTATTTGATTCATGTTTTAAGTTAAGGTAGCCTCTTATCACATGCAACCTTCAAAGAGCATCGCAGAGACAGAAAAACCTCTTAACTACATTTACAGTAACTAATCATCATCACAGTTCAAAGAAACACAGCTTGTTGAAAAGACCAATACACTCCACATTGATATGATTTGGAAACATAGTGTTGTTATCAAATTATATATATATATATATATATATATATATATATATATATATATATGTATATGTTATTATATATGTTGTATGATTCAATCAATCAATAGGCTTGCAGCCTCATATATTAATCTTAATTTAAAGCAGTAGATTAATTAGGCAATTATGGGTCATTGATTGTTCTGGTGCTTTCCCTTAATTGTAACAAGGATTATTTAAATTAATGTTAATGACTGTTAAAAGAAACCAACCCGGAATACTATATAGTATAATTTACATAATGCTTATCTAAGCCTGGACTGCTATATGAGACTGATCTGATTATTTTTGTCTAAATCAAGATTTATGTCTAGGAAAAGTGAAGCTCAATCATTAGAAATAAACTAAGTCTATTTCTATTTTCCTCCTTTAGGGAATCACAGAAAGTGACTGATATTGCACATCTGTGTTCATTTTTGGATTACGTCCATTTTTAAGGACTGAAACCGTGAATCCGGCATGGGAACTAACCCAAAAAGGACAGTGACAGTCCAGATGGTGCCTCAGCTGGCTGCGGTGGACATGCTAGGCAATAAGGAGCCTAATGCCAACTGGGCGAAAGAGCCCCACCTCAAACTCTCTCAGGTTTGTCCAAAACCCACCCTCACATCTCCTGATCACAAACAGGACAACTCATCTCTGACTGCTTCTTCTGCTAACACCACCCCACACACCCAAAAAATGGCTTCCAAAGGAGGAGAACCAGTTTGCAGCACTGTGTCAGACAAACCAGTACCAGCTAATGGAAACCAGACAAAGTCAGAGCTTGTGACAGGTCGAAACCAACAGATGCAAGACCTGTCTCCAACAGGCCAAGGACTGGGTGAGGCAGGAGGCGACCAGAGGGATTCAAATGCTAATGTGAAAATGCTAAGTACGGCTGATGAAAAAGATATCTGTAAGGCTGGTGTGTCGCCTGCTCTTTCAGCGTCAAAGGTCGACATGCAGACCGATGACTGCAGAATAAAAGGGCCAAATGCAGCAGTGGAGGAGTGTGCAAAGCTGACACCCTCAGCCACAGCACGAGAGGACAGTAATAAAAATGTTTCTCCTTATAATAAAAATCTCAACATCGCCTGTGAATTAAAGCATACGACATCTGAACCACAACGCGATAATAAAGGGAGCATTTTAGCTCTCAAAGACGAGGACACAGCTGTACCACAGAAATCTCAAGAGCCTGAACATTTACGTAGCTGCTCACAAACCACTGTGAGTCTGCAGGAAGCAGCCAAACCTAAACAAAGCATGGAAACTCCTGCAGCTCCTCTGAGCTCCACTACACCTTTGTCTCACAGCAAAGATGCAGAGGCCGATTTTACAAATAAGACTTCAAGTTCAACACATCCAGAGAAGGATTTGCCACTATTAAAGAAACAACAAGTCTCTCCAGATAAACATCAGCCAGTTTCCTCACAGACGGACTCCTCCACTCTGCCCCAGGCTACACAAACTATGCCGGCAGATGGGCAGGTGGCTGAGGAAGCCAGCCAGACTGACACAGCTGTCTTTGAAGCGCAGCAGCGGCAGCAGCAGAATGGCAAGCTTTACAGGGAGGCTTCGACGATGACCTTATCCCCGTCATCTGCACCGGTCAAGCAGTGTCATGATATGGAGGTTCAGGCGGTGGCGAACACGTGCAGTAAGGCTGTGGCCACAAGTCCAAGTCTGCTGCCTTTTGCTGTGCCGCGCAGGCTGAGCGGTGGTGCAGTCCCCGGGGAGGCCACGCAGAGCCTGGTTGTGGTCTACCAGGAAGACGGGGGTGTGGGACTACATCAGATGAACATGAGCGCTCTATCCGCCTCTACTGATCCAAGGTCAGGGAAACTCACTGTTGAGGCAGAGATGTGCCCCAACCAAAATGCCGGCGTGGTTTTCCACTCAGACACTTTGTCCCAGCAGGAGGACAAAAGGCTCGGAGCAAAGCCTAAAGACCCCGGGTCAGCTCTCTGCAACACCCAGCCAGTTTATCAAATCAACATTGAACACAGCCACCACAAGGAGCCAGGAGAGACAGGTAACTCCCTAAATATAACAGGGGTTCAGAAATCGGCACCGAAAACAGCCAATGACGAAGCTCCATCTCTCAAATCAGGAACAGCCCCAGGGACGGCTGGTGCTACCAAGTCTAGATCTGCTGACAGTCACAATGCTGCGCCGTCACAGGCTGCTGTTACAACCAAGCCCAGCCAGGCCCTGCCAACAGCAACTAACACCACATCAAAGCCAGATCTAACTAAAAAAAAAGCTGAAAGTCCTAAACAAAAGGCTAAAGGTGGAGGTAAAGCCCAGAAGAAGGAGGCAAAGTCAGGCAAACAGAAGAAAGAACAGGAGAGGAAAGAAGAAGAGGAGGACCAGACGCAAAAAGAAAAGAACATCCACGATGTCGTCTGGGACGAGCAGGGGATGACTTGGGAGGTCTACGGGGCTTCTGTGGACCCAGAGTCCCTTGGTTTTGCCATTCAGAGCCACTTGCAGTGCAAAATCAAAGAGCAAGAGAAGAAACTGGTCGCCCAGACTTCCATCCGAAAGTCAGTCTCTGGTGTCGACTCGCCGGGACATGTCAGCAAGAGCAAAAGGAGGCAGCACAGCATTTTCAGGTCAATGCTGCAAAATGCCAGACGGCCCAACTGCTGCGTGCGTCCCCCTCCCTCCTCCGTCCTCGAGTAGCTCAGCACAGAGGTAGCCAGTGTCAAACTCCAGCCTTTTCTTAGAGGTCAAAATTGTTGTCCTCCCTTCGTCATGATCGCAATGCCAAGTGAACGCATTAATGGGATGACGGTCCCTGTAAGTAAGTACACTGGAATGTTGTAGCATAAAGAGTCAAACTACTTGTGACGTTTGTGATCAAAGAAGGTAGGACTTAGAAATATACAATGAACAACCCAAGACTTATTTTCTAGAAATAGATGAAGGGAGAAAACTTCCAACAGTTTTTAACTGACAGAGGCAATAATAGTGAAACGCATGTATATTAGTTACAATGGCAGTTGTTCGACCTAAACTGAAGTCCAGAACTTCAGAGTAGAAGGCACTGATCATGAGGTAGACGTATTACTTACTGTCGGAATTTTTGTGCAATTATATTAAACCAACATCTCATTACATTTGGTGCATTTGTTATATGCTTTTGAGGTATTTTTTGGGGCCCTATATTTATAAGATTGCTGTATTTTCTTTTCATGCACATTTATTTTGAGTGAGTGATTACGTTGTGCAAAAAAAGGACTGTATGCATACATGCGCTGTTTAATCTCTGTTCTTCTTTGGTTTTCTATTAAAACAACAAAAAACTAAGTTGAGCTTTACATATTCTTCATTTCTGACCAAGAACTTCAGGCAGGTATAGCCTCCATGTTCGGGTGATTTTTAAGCTTTTTATTTTTTTCACAAAAGGTTCAGTGCAGAAGGGCTTAACAGAAATGGTCATAAAAAGAAATAAAAAGAGATCGTGTGTGAACATGTCAGGGGATGTGAGAGCAGCAGGAAACATCAACGCAAACCACCGGAGATATAAGAGAGTGACGGACTGAAGCTGAGAGTAAAGGTGCACTCGGTTGTAGAGTGCATTGGATAAATTAGTGTCAAGTTTAATGAGACAGGTTGTGATCTCTAACGAGGGCCTGACGTTTGTTCAGAGGCAAAGGCTAGCAAGCTACCAACTCTCTTCTTTTGATTTACAGAGAGATTAACACCTCAAGTCTGCATCTGGGCAAAGACAGGAATGTTTTATCAACAATTCAAGCGAATTGTTTACAATTTACACAAATCAACAATTTACACAAATCACAAATGTGAAGAGAAGCCAGAGAAAACATTCAGGACATTTCTGTCAAACTGTTTAATAGGTCAGCGAAGGACAGGAAAGACACAATCTTGGGAATATTTCTAAGAATAAGATGCACTGTTTTGGACATTGCCTTGTTGTGGTGTAAGTCTGAATCAAAGATAAGATTCTGAGCAGATCATTTAGAGTAAGAGGCATTGAAGAGAAGGCAGATTAATCTGAACTGAACAGAAGAAATTGTCTGTAGCCCGTTGTGTGTTGTTGGTGAGACCTGAGTGCTGAGGGACACTAAAACAGACCTTATTATATGCAGGAATGATAGCAGCAAATATAAAAACATAGTCCTGTGCAAGAGCGATGTTAGGATACCAAGACTTTATAAATCAGTGAAGATACCATTAGTCCGGAATTTTAGAGCGGCACTATAAAGTTGCTGAGTTGCAAGGCTACAAACTTGCAGTATCCTATTTCTATCTGTTTTTTAAGACCCTGCACAGGTTTCCAACTTGTAAATAATGTCCAAATTAAAACTGGAAAACTGACTTTTCCTAAATCTCAAATATATCTGACTTGGCACCTAATAATACAGAAGTGCCTGAAAACTGAACAAACGCGGGCGCCTCATGTCAGCCAAAGACCAGCTCAAGTCACTGTAATCAGCCGTAGAACCTCCAGTCAGGTTGAAATTAGGTGGAACTGTGAAGAAGTCTAATCAGGAAACATAATTATGTGAGGGTCACACTGAAGGTGTGTAGGGGTTTAAAAACCTCAAGACAGCTTGGGATGAATCAGGTTTCAGATATGGAGGCAATTTTGGAAAACGTATTATGTTAAATCAAAAATAACAGCCACATGTGGGATCTTTTAAATTAGTTTTCATTTGAGTTAGGCATCATATTCCTTTTATTCTGTTTGGAAGTTGACATAGCAAATCAGGAGATTTCATTGTTTAGTGTAATAACATGATGATAACATTTATATGTAATAACATTGTATTCAAAATGCTTTGACTGAAACACAGGAATATTTCCAGAAAACCATTCTTTGATGGTGAACTCTCCCTTTCAGTGTGAATTTACCATCCTGACCAGTGAAACGCTGATTTCAGGCGACTGCTGATATTGTGGTAACAAGCATGTCACTTCCTGTTAATATCAGTATGATAGCAGGGGGGGGTCCTCTATGCTCGTAGTCTCTGTCACAAGCTGTATAGAGCCTAATCTTCATTCCCTTTATCCACCATCAGAGGACAAAGATATGAAGTTGTACTTATATCTGTCTCATCCTACCTGCTCAGATTTGTGTAAGAACAAGAATGTTTCTGGAAGCAGCAGCGACCTCCATGACCTCTTTACATACTCTTATTTAATACAAGTCTAATCCTACAGAGCCGATGGAAGGGTGCCAAACTGACATATTAAATTCAGCCTCAGGCAGATTAACGTCTCTCTCCTCCTCTTGTTACAGTCGAGATCAGTTTCTCCTTTACACATCGACTCTGTCCCTCTCTGTGTGCCCGGTCACCAGCCTTAATTCAGATTCTTTCACCCTCGCTTTAATTAGCTACTGTTTCAATCTTTAATAACCCCCCGCTCACTGCGCAGTTATGCCTGGTTCCCATTTGAAAGTGCAGATTAGATTCAGCCACATGCGGTGGTTAGCACATAAGGAGATTTACTCCAATGACAGGGAACATGGAGAGGGATTTCAAAGGCACATGGACATACATATACCACCCATTGCTACAGCTACCAGAGAAGAGGGCTCAACTTGCTGTCAATATTCACCTCACTGGCTGTAAGCTCCATGCCCTCTAGGTATTTTAAATAACACACGCCATAGCCACACAACTGCCCTCAATGTTCTTATATGGAAGAAATATCCAGCAGTGGAGCACACTGTTGACCCGATGATCTAAGGCACACACTGCAAGTTATAGAGATGTACTGCGTTTGAATCTGGCCTGTCAACTGTGAGCAACATTAAAGGGAAAGGCTGGTGTTATTCTTTATATGGTTATTGTGTTGGATTGACTCAAAACACAATTTTCATCATAATGACAACAATGGAGGTCTGTTGCCCATATAATGAGAAACATCAGATAAAGATATGCTTTGGTTAATAGGACACATTTGTTTTCATGGGATTTATTGAAAAAAGAAAACATCAAATATTACCAGCTGTATCCTTCAGAAAACAAGTGACATAAAACAAATAAAAATATCATCAAAAATAAAAGTACAGTAGTGTACATCTTCACTTCACAGGATACTTTGCATACAAACAGATTGGCAGTCTAGTAATTGCCTATTGTGTGAAAGAAGTGATTATGCAGTGCTTCCCTGTAGCTCCACTTCACCATTAATATTTGATTAATACTGGTTTCTCTAATACGCGAAAATGAGTGATGCCATAATGATATCTGTCACCTAACATTGAAGCGTAGTCGTATTTTTATTCGGTATTAAAGCACATAACTTATAACCTACAACAGTGTGCTGTTAGAAATGTTTTGATTGAATATTTTTGAAACGTGACAGCAGTGACAGCAGTGACAGCTCAACGCTAATGCCCAGTTTGAGACCGAAATAATAATCTCTCAAGTGTTACCACTTAACAAGGAATCTCCCAGACTGTGTCAGAAGCTAAAATTAAAGACGAATAGTCCACGAGAGGCAGCAGGAGCCCCCTGATACAGCCCAAGGGCCTCCCCTGACTCACACTGAGATATTGATACTAGTTCTCTTGGCGAGCAGTCGGGCTGCAGGGAAACTGTGGTGCAAGGCGTACAAAAACAAACTGGTATTTTAGTGTGGTTGGAAAAATGTACTTGATTTTGTTATTTATAAAAAGAGAAATGATGCATTCTTTTCATATATGCGAGGTCGAGGCAATGACAGATTTCATCTAAGTGCTAAAAGTGTAAACGTGGTGAAATAATCTGTGCAAAGTATTTGACCTGCAGATCTTATCGATTCCTAAATCAAGTTTGTGAGAGGCTATGTTTATTGACAGTTGTCTAAATATGTTGTTTATGTCTTGACATGTTTTGAGGCTACTTTAAGAAACAAAATTAGGTATTCTTGAGTGGAAAAGATGAGACACTATCCACTACCACTTCAAACACTCACCATGTGTGACTCGGTAATAGCATCCTCGGATTCTGTGGGGAATTCAGGGCAGCTGCAACATTTTTGAGCTATAATTGAAGTCCCGCAGATAAGTTGCTGTCCTGGTGTGGGGATTTGAGATCTGCTTGCAGTGGCCCAGTTCGCCCCATAAACATATTTGGTCCTTCAGCTCATATAGAAACCCTTATAGAAACCCTGCAACCAAGGCTTCAAAACTTCTCTGGAGATTTAACTACTGGCTGGTGGAAGCTTCCAATGTTGTTTTCAACCATTTCTGTGCTAATTTTCACAATTGTTTTTCATCCTCCTGTTCTCTTTCTCTCACTGAGCCTACCCACTCCCCGTATTCTCTCCACACCTTCACTCCTCTGTGTCCCAGACCTTCCTATCTGTCTTTGACAATGATATCATAATAAAGCCAGTAACAGGGAGGTGATTAAAGCTTCTGCTGGCCTCCACTCTTGCAGAATATTTCCTGTAAAATGATCTTTTACTGCTGCTCTCGCCTTATTCATCCTCGTATTGTATAAGAAAGCTGGAAATGAGGCTCGTCCTCCTGATGGTCGCTCCGCTCCCAGTGGGATATGTGGCCTACATTTGTTTGTAGTGCAGCGTTTGGCTTTGTGAGCGTGTTCCTATTTCAAACAATTCCAGTTGTCTGCGGCGTGCCTCTTTTGTTTCCTCAAACATTGACTGTTTTGTCTTTCCTTCTGTCTGCATGTCTCGCCTTCCTCTCTCTGCTTTCTCATAAATACTGTACATGTATCCAGCAATGTAGAGCTCATCTTTGATCGCTTACCATTCAGCTCCGAGCACATGCCCTTTTGACCTGTATAAATGAGCATACATGTGCACAAGATGCCCATTTTGAAAAGAAAGTCACCTTCCCTGGCTTCAGAGACTGCCTTATTATGGCGGACAGATGTGCCCATAAATCATACAGGTCCCCTGGTGGAGCAAGAAGATCCAAAACAATCTGAACACTGATCAAGGTGAAACAGTGAGAAAGAGAAGAGATAGATAGAGAGACATATTTTTACACACATATCAATATACTTCAGCTGTTGACAATGTCTGCAATCATTTCTGCCATCATACTGCCTAAAGAAGGATTTCTTCCATCACCTTTATCATTTCCATGGAGCGAGAAGCAGCTTTTGTTTCATCACTGCCTTTTGTTACGAAGAGAATTTGGAAGGAAAGTCTTTATCTTGAGAGGAAAATGAGTTGTTAAAGGGGAAACACTTCAGATTCTAATTTACAAAGAGTGAGTCTGATGAAACCCAATCAAGCGTCTTTGTATTTGAGATTCGGCCCTCACACAAAGATCCTTCCTGCTTATATTGCAACACAGCCTGTTACTCTGCATTGTCTGCAACACTGCAAAGGAAGTTAATCCTCGTTTTTTTATACCAGGGCAGGCAAAGAAATGAACCATTTGTATCTGTGAAAGAAACACTTTAAATTGACATTACAGTTATGATTTAGACTCCTACTCTTGTACGTATTATTATTATACTTTCTGTCAAATATCTGTCCACATGTGAAAGTCTGAATAGGGAATGATGCAGAACCCTGCCAACTGAGTGCTGACAAAGAACAGTTACACGTTACACGTTATTTCAAAGTCCTTGCTTTGGTCAGCTTTCGCATTAACTTCTAAACTCTTGTACTTGTTACAGCAGCTGTAATCGATTTTAAAATTATTTTAAACTTTTTTCTTTTTTTTTTTTAATAACAATGAATGAGGAATATAATTAACTAATGTACGATATTATGAATTGTAGCTCATCTTTAAGCTGTCGGGCCACAGCTTTACTGTTTTGGGTTACTTTCACTGCTGTCATAGCGTTGTTTTTCTGCCGCAGGGGGGCAGCTTTTCGTTTAGTAAAATACTACAAGCAGCTTATAAAATCCATCATCTATACGTTTTTCATTGACAAATGTAAACCCCAGTTGCTTAAACCCACAAATTCACAAACATTTTTAAATTAAAAACACTGAGGACATAAAGTCAGTGTAACTATGAACCTTGGCATCTCTGGTAAAGGCCTTTTGCTGATTTAAATCTGTTGACTATCAATACATTTCATGCAGATAGTGTAATGAAAGAGCTGTAAATAAAATTCTCAGTCATCAGTTTTTAAGATAATGAATTTGCTGCTTACAGCTGAGAAAATGCTGTTCAACTGTGGTGAGCAGCAAGAATGAAAGACCCAGCAGTTGATTTACAAACTGCTGTGTGATAAAAACAAATTGGACTGTGAAGTCGCATAATCTTACTGTCCACCTTGTTTATCCCAGCTGAACCTAGATACGCCCTTATTTCTTCAGCACCCTGGATTGTCATCTTTTAACAATGAGGACACACTTCATCGTCTAAACTGTTTCTTCATACTGAAAGGAACTGTAATGCCAATAATGAAATATTGTGACATATTTCTGAGGATTTGTGAACAATGATCACATCCAAAATGTAAAACCAGCTTTTCTGTGCCACAGGTGACAAGTTTATATTTTACCTTCCATTTCAATCAGTTCCCTTGAAAGATATCCTGTCGACCTCTTGATTATGAAACTTGCTGTTATGGTACTGTATTATTTATGGCTTTTCACATCCAGCCACACTCTACGTTTCAAGGTGCTCAAGGTTCATCTCTGCTGTCAGATTTCAGATAATGTTGGTAATAAGATAGTGAATTGCTGGACGAGGCGCAGTTTGTTGCATCTTCCTCCGCTGTGAGGAAAATGGATGTGGAGAAGGGTAGTCGTCGGTCCAGGGGTACGAGCACCCTGGAAAAGTGTCTGATATTTCTCTTTGTGGCCATGACCGGCGCCTGCATCGGCCTTGTGGTCGTCTACTTCACTGAGAAAGCGAAGACTTCTACTCATGTAGAAGGTGAGTGTGTTTACATGCATTGCATTGTATTCTGCGTCAATGCCCCTTGACGGCTGACTCCTTAAAAGATAATTATATGACGCTGTTGTAATGGTTAACATCATACAAGAAGAAATAAAATGAAATGCTTATAGTATTGGAGGTTTCAGTGCCTCGTTCATGTCTCCAGAAACACTGTGTAGTGTACAGTTCAGTAGCTCTGAGGGGAAACAACAAGATAAGACAAGACAGTTTCTTGCTAATTAGCGCATGTTGGCATGCAAACTTGGCTAATGCATGTAACATTATACCTGCTTAACATCTGTATGTCAGTGTTGTCACTATGAGCATGTCAGCATGCTGATGTTAGCATTTAGTTGAAAGTACCAGCAGAATGGCTGTAGACTCTTGTTGTTAGATTTAAAAGATGTCCTTTATTTTAAAGGTTTTTGGCAGTAGATCAATAGGGGACATATAACGTGTTAGAGAAAACTGTGATAATTTGATGTGGTGTAAAAGATGTGGGTTAGGATTCTTCCTGGCTGTTGTGAAAAAAAAGCAAAACATTTTCTTATTCGACAGAATTGATATACAGAACAGAGAAGAGGGGAAACGAAAAACAGACAGAATTGTATTATTACTACTATTTTTACACCTGATCCTTGTACTGTCACGCTAACTTCATCAGTAGAGTTTAATGTAATAGTACAAAAAGTAGTAGGCCACCTGCTCCACTTCTCATTCTTCAATTCTTCAATCAATGCTGTTACCAAGGCATCTCAATTGATTTTAATTTTTCACTGTAGATACCGTAAGGTGCTTTTTCTTAGTGATTATAATTTCACGGTAAACACTTGCAGTGTTATTCTTTGTAAAATAACAAATCTAAATGATGTTTATAGCCATGCAAAATTGAATTTGTTCAATACTTTTTAAATAGGTGTACCAGGAAATCTGATCAGCCTCAGCCTTGCTTTGTGTTTCGCCCTAATAAGCAACTGTTAGCATGCTAACGAGTTAAATTAAGATAGTGAACAAACATTACACTTGCTAAACATCAGCAACTTAGCATTTGTCATGTTAGCATGCTGACGTTAGCATTTAGCTCAAATTATTACTGTACTCTACATCCCCACAGAGATGCTAGCATTGCTGTCTTGTTTTTTTTACGTTAAGAAAACAATTTCTTAAACGTAAAATAAGATAATAAAAAAATGTTTAAACTGAAATTGAAGAAGCCTGCATCTGAGCTGATGGTACAAAGTAAGCACATTAATAGAACACTTTTGAGTTTCTTATGCATTTTTCCTGGGAGTCCATGCAGAGTAGAAGCTGTTTTTACTGTAAAATAGACTTTAAGTTGCTATATTTTACAAATACATATCACAGGAACAAGTGTCCTCCTCTGTCATACGTTTCCAGGGCCGGACTCAGGGTGTGGTGGTCCTCAGGAGCTGACTGGAGAGACGGGCACCTTCACCAGCTTTAACTACCCCAATAGCTACGACAATGGAAAGAGCTGCTCCTGGCACATCACTGTGGACCCTGACAAGGTGATATGGATCAGCATCACTGCTCTTCCAAATCTGAATCATTGAACGTTTTAGCATTACAGTCCCCATGAAACTTTCCTACACCCTTCATGTAAGCTCAAAAAGTATACAAATTAACTAATTACTTATGAATTACATTTAAATGTTCATCATGAAGAAGAAGGGGACAATTCTGTAATGGCCCAAAAATAATTGTCCTCCAGAACACCAGTTTCAACACATTCATCTTATTTCTTCTTTACAAGACAATCAAAACAATTCAGTCATGCCTCTATATGAGACAGGTTCTTTTATAGTGTTTGTGCCTATGGTGTCTAGTTTGTTTCTATTGGTGAAACTGTCTTATGTGAGGCCAACTAGTGGAGGACAGCTGGGATGAATTCAGTGGCAGCGTCACGGACAGATGGCTGCCCTGTCTCCTTCATTCTCCTCAGCTCTCCTCCCCACACCCACAGGAGAAAACTAAATCCTTGATTCTTCTTTCTGTTTGCATGGCTGCCTCACTCCCTGCCAGCCGGATGCAGAGGCTGCTTTCCTCTTTGCCTCTATCTCCCTTTTGCTAAACAGGCATACATACACATAGAGGTACACACTTGCATGTGCACATATTCTCACAGACAGAGCTGGCACATACTCTCATATATGTGCACATGCATAAACTTATATTTCACAGAGCCTTTCCTCGCCTTCCCTGTCAGCAGACCGTCTCTCTTATTGACTTCTCAGGTTAAAAAAAGAAATTAAAAAAAAGACGGATGAAACAACTCTTCATCTTTCTGTTGCAGGTGATCCAACTGTGGTTTGAGGAGTTTGCTTTGGAGGACACCCAGCTCTGCACGTCAGACTTCATCACGCTGAGAGACTCTCTGGGAACCATCGGTACAAATCTCTCATTACAAGTCCAACTTAAGTGGGGAAAGAAAGAAAGAAGGATGGGTGCTCTTTCAGCCTGCAGTGGCAGCTTTGATGTCATGCCCAAATCAGCCCATCCATCTATGGGCAGACTCAGCTAGTCAGCCACACAGTCCTGCTGGCCCACTGCACACAGCTCCACTTGCAATAACACACCACTGGTTCTCCAACCAAACTGCAGAGTTTAAAGCAGTGCAGTGGATCACAAACATCTTTAATTCCTGCTCATATGAGACAATTTTGAAGACGTATACCCCATTTTGTTTCCTCAAGATTTGTTCAAATAAGGGGGGCATATTTGTAAAATTAGTAAAAAAACGGGAGTGGCCAATCAGATTCCGGGGCAGGCCTGGTCGCACTGAAATTAAAAGCCTCATGATCTTTCTATAATATTGTATTTTGAAAATAAACCCTTCTTTTCATTGCAGATGAATAAGCTGTGCATGTCTCTCACAACATCATTTGTGTGGTATTTGTAGGTAAATACTGCGGCTACACCAAACCGAAGCCGCTGGTGTCACTTACAAACTACTTGAATGTGTACTTCGACACCAATGACAGAAAAACAGACCAAGGTTTCAAGGCTCATTATAAAGCTGTGGCTCCAACGCTCGCACCAGGTAAGAAGAAATCCATTTCAGCAAGAAAATTGCCTTGGCTCTGACATAATGTTGGATGTCTGTCTTATAGTGCCCTAGAAAGTCAATGTTATAGAAGTGGGTGCTGGATGAAGAGAGGGGTAGGAGAAGGGAAATGATAGAGGGCATAGGTAGGTGGGGGTGGAGAGGTGTATTGCGGGTATCCTTGAGGTGTCTGTGGAGCTGAAGTGCCATTCATCCCTGCTGCCAGAAATAGCCGGAGCTGGTGGCTTTCTCCAAGGTGACCAGGGGGATCTGATGACCCCGAGCTTCCCAGAGCAGAACTACCCGAGTGGAGCACTATACCAGGTACACACAGCAAGGAGACACAAAAGAAAGCAAATGTGACAGCTATGGTAACAGTTACTTTTTTTTTTGTTAATCTAAGGAAACACTGCTGACCTTTATCTGAGGATGTGAGGTTGTAGTACGTCATACTGCACCGTGTGGTCTGTGCGACAGAAATACATATTTAAATCTGAATATAAATGACAAGGAATCATTTTTACATTACATTATTGATCACATGACTACATGTATGTGAAATGGGCTGATTGTAGTGACAAACCCACAGAGAACAATCCCCCATCTCTGCAACTGCCTTCAGCTTTTCGGAGCGTTTGAGCGTCTTTCTGCTCATTGTTCTTTTATAAAGTTTGAGTATCGGAAATTTTACTGGTTATTTCCTATTCTGCCAACATTGCATGAATTGTAGAGGTGCTGGTAGCCGGATTTAAAAATTTTGGATAGATCCAGGTATGGACCCTGATTCCAGTCCGTATGCTAAGCTACGATAATTGCCTCCTGGCTTTTGCTTTTATACTTTATATACAGACATGAGCTAATAGAAAGTAACTGACTGAGAAAATATGTTATTCAGGACTGTATAGCTTCTTATGAATGTCATTGATTTCAGCAATGTGTAAAATAGTATATATATCAGCTCATCGGGTGATCAGGTATGTGAAAACAATACATACTTGATTTAACTGTTACTCTAGCTGGAAAGATAAGTCAATCAATTTGAGAGTGGTTGCAGGTTGTTTTTAATTTAATTTAAGGATACCTCTTTATTAACATTGGGGTTGTGGCTTTATTAAAGTACACTGACCAGATTAATTCATGTTTCAGCTGCTGTCACTTATAAATATGTGGAAATTATTTCGGGAAATCTATCTATGCAGTAAATGATTGGAGTTTGTCTGATTGTACTTTATCTTTACGTTGGATCAGTGGAGAATCACGGTGCCTGAAGGCGAGAGGGTTCGACTCACATTTACTTCCTTTGACCTGGTGCCTGAGGTCTGTGGAGACTTTGTTCAGGTCTACGACGGGCACAAGGCCGGCTCCTCTTCATTCAGTAAGCATGATATTAAACATGATTCCAGTATCAGTGAGGATTATTAATTATTAACTATTAACAGGAAAAGCTTCTGAGAAAAAGAAAGTGCTGTGCATGTATGAGATAGGGGTTTTAAAATATACCACAATATCTTTACACATTAGCACAGATAATGACAAAGCTGGATGGGCAATTATAAGGCAAGGGGTTAGAATTTCAGAATACACTGTGGCCTTTGTTCAACATTAGCAATGTCAACTATGCAGGCCCGTGAATAAAATATGAGCTCAATTAATAGTTTGAGAAGTTGTTAAATGGTTCTGGAGTCTATTTTAAACTTAATGAATGTAAGTCTGTCTACATAGACTTCATTGTTAAAGCGGAAATGATTAATCGTCAATCTTCTAGATAGAAAGGTGTTACTGTTCTTGATTTTTAACATGTATGCATATAATCCATCAAAGGTAAATTCTGTGGGGGGACAATGCCAAAGCCGGTGGAGTCCAGTAGCAACACAATGGTGGTCCGCTTCAAATCGGACAACAGTTTGACTTCTAAAGGATTCAGAGCAACTTACACCAAGTCCAGCCTTCCACCTGTTACTACCACCACACCCAAACCCGCCACCACCACACCCAGACCCTCCACCACACAAACACCTCCACCTCCCACATCTTCGGGTACGAATTCGCTCCAAACTTGTCTGTTTGATTTTCCCTCCATGTATACTTAAAATAAACCATCCAGATCTACTAAAAATGCAATGACAAAGTTTGATTATATTTTTTCAGCCAACCTACCCTGCATGTCTCTATTTTAATTTTATTTGAAACATACAACATCAGATATATTTGATTGCCCCACTACCAAATAACAGCATCAATATCCATGTTGCTGAACCAGCTTTCCTTAAAAATAGTTTATCACAACCCTCATTTATTTAGTTGAATTCAGAGCTACTTTATCAGAGTACCAAATCAGTTATCTTTTGAGAGTTCATACTGATGTACAATAAACGATAATATAACTTTACAGTATGTGCACAAGGTTGTTTCCTGGCCAATTGGAACTTGTTGATAAGCCTTAAATAACTTTTATGCCTCCCCGTGCAATTTTCCCTGCAGCTCTAATCAAGTGACAACTCTCAAAAAAAAGGATGAATGCAAGTAGTGATGTGCGTAGGAGTGGGGAGATCCCCCTTGAGTTTTATCTATTCATCACTGTACTAAAGCTATTGGCAGACAGACCGGTTCTCTCCAGTGGCTAATTAAGGTATCAGATTTGTATCAAAGCAATCTGGGCCTCATCAATCGAAAAGAAGAAAGAGAATAAACTCTATTAAATGGAGCTTGGATGCACAGAAAACACAGTGTTTGTTCTCTGTTATTGGGCAGGAGTTGGTGGTCCAGATATCCTTCATGGGCGTAAAGGAGTGATCCAGTCCTTGGGTTTCCCAAATCCCTATCCTGCTCATCTGAACAGCTCCTGGAGGATATCTGTGCCCAAAGGATTCCTGGTTAAACTGCAGATCACTGAAATGGCCATCACAGGAGAGACTGGACAATGCAAGGAGGACAAACTGGTCATCTCAGATAATTACAGCACATTAGGTGAGCATAACATAATGTTTTACTCTTTTACATTAATTATACTAATGTATGTGTTTGTTATTGTTTAAATAATTAATGTTTTACACCATATCTTTGTGCCTTATAGTGTTTTGACTCCCAAATGCATCTCAGATCACCTTAAGAAAATCTTTGCTTTCTCGGCCACATCTGTATCTTGTGACATCTGAATAGCAGCCACTGTGGAGTAAAGGTTATAAACTCCCCTGTGGGCGATCAGAAACCAAGACAAGCACAACAAACAAGCAAACCAACAAGCAGTTAAAATGCCTCTGCTTACAAGATAACCTTGTTGCACCTTGCTAGACTAACAGCTCTGGTGCTACAATATGGATCAAATTCTGCCCCCTGCTATAAAACTGTTGATTAGGGTCTTCTCTGCAAAGAGCCCAGCAAACTATAAATTACCTCTCCTCATTATTCACTGCAGTGGCGGCAGTGAGGCTGATACAGCTTTATCTATCGCTGAGTTCTCAAGGACTAAAGCACTGAGGTACAAGCACACAGATACAGTAGGTGATGAGAGGGGTGCATCCTGTTATTTCAGGGGAGTAGTGTTTATAAGTGAAATGCAGAGGGCAATGAAAAGCGGCTAAATGTCTGTTTTGAAAACCTGATAAGTCTGAAAAATCAGAAGTATCAAAGATCCCTTAACTATGTAACTTATAAAAGAAGAACTAACACAATATTCCTTTTGCAAATGAAATCAACACACTAGAGGCAAATATACAGCATCTTGTATTTTAGTAGCATATAGAAACATTACCAGTGTGTGCTGCTCCCTTTTAGATGACTATCTAAAATTTCTTCAGTCAATTAGTAGATTTTATACTTTTTGATGCATGACTTATTTTGAAGAAATGTGTTTCTTCACACCCACAGCACACAGCCTCACACTTACTTACACCCAATAATACTTGCAGTATTATCCGTCTTTGAACCATCCACCCCATTCCTGACTCTACTCTCTCAATATACCTCCATCTTTTACCTCCGTCCTTCCTCTCCCTCTCCCTTAGGCACACACTGTGGCTACATCCTTCCCCCAGTGGTGGTCAGTGCCAGTGACACAATATCTGTCACCTTCCAGTCCGACAGTCGCCTCACAGACCGAGGATTCTCTGCCAGGTGGGAAGCTGTGTATGCTGAGGATATCGCAGGTACCGAGGACTGACACACCACGCACACACACACGCACACACACACGGGAGCACACTCACACCTGAGGGGCAACTTGCTGAAGCAGCTCAACACCTCATAACTAACCATAAAACATCTCAATCATCTGTCACATGTCTCTAAAAGAGCAAAGTGATTGCAGTGTGAACTCAGTGAAAGCACAGGTCAGAGTACAGTTTGAAGTATAAATAGTAAGATAAAAACTCCTTTATCTTTGTCTTTATCAGGATTATCAGGCACGAAAATGACTTGAGACCCCAAGTGCAGAGGTGAAAGAAGTACTTTAGGTTACTTAGTAAATATAAAGACTTATAATGTATCAATACAGCAATACTGCATTGCAAGAAAAGGCTACTTTTTACTTCAATAAAAATGCAGAATGATAATCAGCAAAATACATTTGTGTAAAAGCATGTTATGTGCATTATCATGTAGCGGCCCTTGATGGTCAAATTGAATAGTGTCGGATCGTCTAATGTAAAAGACTATCAGTCATCATATCATATTTTATTAGCTGAGTATTTTCTGTAAAATCGTTATCGTAGAAAAAATGAAGTTGAGTTTAATATTTGCCTCCAAATTTAAATAAAGACAACCTAGACATTACCATAAACACAATTAAAGTACAAATACCTGAAAACTATTCTAACTCTATTAGAGGTACAGTGTGTAGTGTTTAGGGGGATCTATTGCCAGAAAGTATGTTTTCATTAGTGTATAATCAGCTGAAAGTAAGTCGTTATTTTAGAATGAGCCATTTGTGTCTGCCACGTAGTTCTTGTCACACGGGGGAAGTAATCTGCAGCCTCACGGGAAATCCTACACACTGGACCTTAAAGTACATGAGTATAGGAGTAAATAATTAGTTACTTTCCACCACTGCCCATGTTAATCTCCAGAAATCCTTCTGTTACATAACTTTTATATACTTTCCAAAACTGAGTATATACTGTATATCAGTAACAACTAAATTAATAAAATGAAAATGAGCAGATGGTTAATCTAACAGGGAGCAGTTCTACTTTAAATGAATGTCTGTTTGCATTTTGTTATGACAAGATTTTCTCCTCAGGACGCTTTCTTTTCACAGGCAGATGCTGTCGCTCGTCTACACTTATCTAGTTACGATCACACATCAATCCCTCCCTCTTCCTCTTTCAGAAATCCAGGGCTGTGGCATTTCTTCCAAAGAGGAAACAGGAGTTATTAAGTCCCAGAACTGGCCTATGAACTACAAAGCTAACGCTGAGTGCATGTGGAACATTGCTTTGCCTTTCGGGAAAAAAATCACACTGACGTTCACCCACTTTGACCTTGAAGCCAAAGATTTCCTGACGTCCAAATGCTATGACAACATAATGATGTACGAGATCAATAGTGTGACTAATGCGTTGCTTCAAACGCACGGTAAGTTTGTTTGTGGAATTACATGATCCCGAAACCATTTAGATCTATCATAATAATCAATCACATTGAAAAAGCAAGACCCAGCCATGAATCACATTAATTTAAATAAAACTATGTATCTTTCTACTCTGTTAACGATCACTTTACCAGTAAGTTGTATAGTCTCTGTGTCTTTTTTCATCGTGGACAAATTATTCTTTTAATACATTTTAGGTCCATTTTGTGGGACGAAGCTGCCCGGTACTATCCAGACAAAAGGCAGGCGGCTGGTGATTCGTTTCCATACAGACCTGCTTACTGAGTCCAAAGGCTTCAGGGCCTACTGGACAACAAACCCCAGTTTGCCTGCTCCCACTGAGCCACCTGCTCAGCCCAACCCCTGGGACAACATCACCATAGGTGGAGTATCTATTTGAGCTTGATACAGTTTGCCACATCTGCATTACACGTCAATGTTAAAAGTATGTTTAAAGTTCATAGTGATGAATCTACAGACATTTAACGCCCAATTCTGCATAGCTCAGCTCTACGAAGCCCTTGCAACTCTCATCAACCTCATTTCTAAACACAGCAGGCAGCTGTTTTCAGCCCAAAAGCTTTGATAAACTGATGCTGTTCAGCACCAAACAGCAGACAGAAATAGTTGATTGTTTAAATAGCTGATAAACATAGTGGAGACATTAGCTGCTTGAATAAAATAACAGAGTTAAAAAGAGAATGAATATTGGACTTAGTTTTGTCACATAAACAGACTTTATAAGGCAGTTGTATAAATAAGACAAATGTTTAATGCAGCTTTAATATAAAGTGCTGAAGCAATTATTTAAGCATTTTAATAATTAATTCAATACAGTTATTAGATGACAATGCAACCTAACAAATGCTAGTTCCAGCTTCTAAAATATGAGGATTTACTACTTTATATATTATATAATCACTGTAAACTTAATCCCGTTGAGTTTGAGCCTGCTGTTTGGACACACCAGGTAAGTTGAAGACATGGGCATTTCTTCTGAATTAATTTATTCATTGAAAACTAGGCAACAGGCTAAAATATATTGACAATAAAAGTAAGTTGTAGCCAAAAATATTACCAGATTTCACATCAATGCAGTATACTGTAGTGTGGCCAAGTATTTTTTACAAATGCTGCATGTTTATTTCATTTTTCATTTAGCCTTACATTTGACCATTTTAGTTTTTTTGATCTCTCCAGCACCGTCTTTGAGTCAGCAGAGCAGTATTTTCCACCAGTCACAATGATCGACATTTAGTTTCAAACAACTCCTAATAAGCTGCACAGCTGTCTGTACAGTCATTTGATTCATGCCTCCTTCCATCTTCACCTTTTCTTCATACCCCCCCTCCTCTCATCTCCCCCTTGCTGCGTCCAGATGTGCAGTAAAACAAGGTGACACTGTGTGCTGAGAACACAATGTAAAGCGGCCTATAGCGCTTAACTTTCCTTCTTAGCTTGCTGACACCCGATCCTCATTCTTCACCCAGCGATGAGCCCCAGGTGGCCTAGGCGTCTGCCAAACCAATTGCTGAAATACAGTTTTATAGATGGACTATGCTGCCTCTGTGGTTTTTTTTCACCCAGCCTCCAACTAGCGGTACACTTTCTGCTGGGCAGAGGAAGACAAATAGCGAGTGAGAGATGAAGGGAACAAAGTGACTGGGATAAGAGTGACTGGGACAGTTTAATGTCAACTCCTTGGATGACCAAAATAAATGTATATCTTTATGAGTAGTGATGTTGTAATCTGGCCTGGAAATGGTGATTTCAGTTTACTTGTTTATTTGCAACAGGAGATTGGTGTTATGTTTGCATGAAATTACACTGAATAAATACATAATTGCTGACTAGTAAGCCAAAAAAATCATTGAGGGAAAGCAGTGTCAACCTAACACGATTGGATAATTATTTTAAAAATACAAATGAGAGCGAAAGTGCCAGTGATTGAAAGCCACTTCCCTGCAACACAAGGGCTTATCTGTTAGCTGCAGACATGTACTGTATATTCAGGCTTTGTTTAAACACAAACAAAACCACAAACAAATGAATACATGCACAGACAACCAGACACAGGATAGATGGCAATGTTGTTGTTTTTTCTTATTTCCAAGACTGGTCCGATACATGTGGTAAACCAGCCATTCCTCCTGTTGTTGTGTCACGCATTGTGAATGGAGAGAAAGCCAGGCCTCACTCCTGGCCCTGGCAGGTGTCCATGCAGGTGAGAGACTACCGCTAATAAATGTAGAAAATTCACATACAGCTTAATTACATCAGAAGTTACTGCGTACAATATCAGTGATTACAAAAGGGCAAATTCCAGTACAGCAGGTATTGTTTATTCATAATGTGATATCAAAGAGTCATTTGTACTATCCTCCTCTGTCCTTTCTATGTCTCACGTTGATAAGGGACTGATATCATTGATATGTATGCTTTCACATACTGGCATCAGTCAATTAGGTCTTTAATGACTTCTTCTCTGCTTGTGGGTGGGTGTTTGTTTCAGGTCTGGCCGGCTAGTCGTCCAGAGCCCACATTCTTCCATACCTGTGGTGGTACTCTTATTAATAAGAACTGGGTACTTACAGCAGCCCACTGCTTCATAAAGTAAGTGTTCTGTCTCATCTTTCTAACACACAATACATGTACATTTTCTGTTAGAAATGTTAAAGTTGAAGCTGCTAAAGTGATTCACTTTAAAAAATAAGAGCTGAGTAGGTTTTTACAGCCGTTTAGCTATATTTTATTCTGCAGAGTTTTCTTAAACCTCCTGGAAACCCATTTTTGAAATCTCAGATGGGCAGATGTGTTCCTGCTTTTACCTCAGGCTTGTTATAGTTCGAAAGCGATGCCTTGTTAGGGATACCTCAACGCCTTCGCTAATGGTCTAGACTCTAGAGTAGAGAGAGATGCTTGTGCACTAAGGTTGTATATATAGTTATCTGCTGTGAGCAAGAATGTACAAGGTTATGAGCCACAGAGAACTCAGAATATTCTATGTATGTTTTTGTAAAACTCAGCGTATAATGGTGCAGTGACAGCGATATGCATCTCGAGGTGGCCTGTGGTTACTGTGAACTGGGAGGTATTATAATTGATTAATCTGCTGATTTCCTACCCAGCTACGCTGATGAGCTGCAGCGTTGGCGCATGTGCCTTGGCAAACACAACCTGACCTACACAGAGCTGAGTGAACGCTGCTTCAATGTGTCTGGTATCTATCGCCATGAGGGCTTCAAGTATCCCACGGTGCCCACGGTGGAGTTTGACATTGCCCTGGTCAGGTTGGACGGGGAGGTGATGCCCAATAATGAGATCTCATACGCCTGCCTTCCGTCAGCGGAGGAAGTCCTACCTGGGGGCAAGAAGTGCTACGCCACCGGCTGGGGAGATGAGACTGGTGCTGTTTCTGCTTCATGTTTAAACTATATACTTTATACTTTAAGTAATATTGCAATACACCACTTCAAGAGACACTCACCCCTCATAAGTTAAACATTAATTGTTGCATAGTTTGCATGCCTTCTGTTGGACATAATGTGCAAATACCTATTCAGAGTGTCAAGTTGAAGTTTTTTTATTACAATCGACATTTTTTTTCTCTGATTATCAGGCGATTCAATGAATGCTAAAGTTGCAGAGGCCCTTAACCAGGTTGCCCTGCCTGTTGTGCCATATGACACCTGCAAGAGGATGGATTACTGGTGGTTCCAGGTCAAGACCTCCATGATCTGCTGTGGTTATACCCTGCCTGATGAGCTCAAGTCTGTCTGTCAGGTAAAACAATTCCTTTAAGACGACAGAACTTTTTTTTTTTACACCATTCTGATCATCAATGATGATGAAAGTTTTTGCACACATGTAACTTTACACAAAAAATGCTGATGGTGTTTTAGATGTTGATTTGTGACTTTGACAGGGAGATTCAGGTGGTCCTCTGGTGTGTCAGGATACCCCCGGTGGTTCTTGGGAAGTTCATGGTATAACAAGCTTTGGTCCTATTGGATGTGTTGTGAATAAGAAGCCCTCTGTGTTCACCCGCTCCTCCGCCTACCTCCCCTGGATCAACAATGTCATCCGCAGAGACATCTACGATGAGCACAGTATGAATACAGCTGGTCTACTCTCACCCACTTTGCTCACAAACTAAATATGATATCGAGACAGAAGTTATTGCTGGTTTATACCTTCTGTCCTCCCTTTATAGCATCTGGCTGTGGAGGGCCAAAGGACCTGATGGGCAGAGAAGGCACCGTGTCCTCTACGGGTTACCATGGCAGCTACAACAACAAAGCCCGCTGCCAGTGGAATATCCAGGTGCCACTCGGCAAACTGGTCCACCTCCACTTCCACAATTTCTCCCTGGAGCAGAGTCAGTTGTGCCTTAACGATAAAGTCAGCCTCAGAGACAGAATAGGAAGTCTAGGTGAATATCTGCCTCCTTTTTACTCCACAGCTGAAAATAAATTTGCTGAGTCATTTATTGGCGTGATTACTTTGCTTTATGTTGCACCACAGTTTATTAGTACGTGTCATTAATTAAATGTAACAGTTATTTTATTTTACTCTGAATCACAATTTCAACCTCACGCTGGTACTAGAGGGGAGAGTCAGAGACCCACCAAAGTTAGAGACATTCATCCTCTGGGGACCATGAATGTCTTTACAAAATTAAATTAAATGTATATATGCGTATATGCCGTGCATGTATGATATGAAATAAAGATGTCATACACAAGCTCTTAGGACAGAGGTTCCTTAGAGAAGTCAGTCTGACAGTTCTTCATGTTCATTTCTCTTCAGGTACACACTGCAGTCATGTACCCCCTACAGACCTGGTGAGTGATGGAGACAGACTTCACATCAGCTTCTCCTCCAACGACAAGGTGGTGGACACGGGTTTCTCTGCCAGCTGGAAGGCAGTGGACCCTACAGAGGGTAAGACAGGAGAATGGTGTACCTGACAAGACACTGAGGGAATAGCCTCTAGGCAGAACTAATGTATCTCTTCTTCTTTCTCCATTTCGCTCTCTCACACACACACACACACACACACACACACACACACACACACACACACAGGTCCTTGTGGAGGGAGCTTCAGCAGCGCTCAGGGTGAAATCACCTCTCCTTACTGGCCCAATGACTACCAAGCCCAGTCTGTGTGCACGTGGCGTATCAGCATTCCTTCAGCAAAAACGATCGATGTAGCCTTCACACACTTTGAGCTGCAAGCTGCAAACATTTTAGGAAACTGTTTGGACTACATTGAGATCTTCAATGGTGAAAGCATGACATCACTAGGTTGGTGATTGTACTACAGGTTCAACAGGTTTCAAAAAATAAAAAAAGTATTTCCTGTACAGGTTAGAGTAAATCTCTTGTCTCTCCTGCAGGTCGATTCTGCGGCTTTGCTCCTCCACCCATCATCAGCATCCCTAGCAACACAGTCGTCATTCGCTTCCTTAGTAACGGTGCCGATCAACAGAAAGGTTTTCGTGGTTACTGGACCACTGATGCCGGTGTTATCCCAACTTTACCTCCTCCGCCTCCTAACCTATGGGACAACATCACTATCAGTGAGTGGCGGCCTATTCAAACTCACAGAAGACCTCTGACGAGTGTGTGGGGATCTCATTTCAAAATGGAGCTTGGTGAAAAATAAAATAAAAATGTATTTGCTCCCCTCGAAAAAAAAGTGGATCACTGGATTTCGAAGTTTTAATTGGGTCTGCCATTGACTATACCTGTATAAATACAAGCTGAATGAATTGTAACAAATGAAAGCTTTTTCACAGATAATTTAAGTATTTATTTTCTCTTCCCAGACTGGCCAGCAGATTGTGGAAACCCAGCAGTGACACCCAATACAGCCACCCCGAGGGTGGTTAATGGGGAGCAGGCGATCCCCCACTCCTGGCCCTGGCAAGTCTCCATGCAGGTAATGTCAACTCCTCTTTCTCTGTGTGCGTCATTAACAGTCGTAGAGGAGAGCTTTTAATCTGTACTAATGTGCATTTCTCTTTCCCAGGCTTCACCATTCTTTCCCATACCTTACAGGCACAGTTGTGGAGGTTCTTTGATTCATGAAGATTGGATCCTAACTGCTGCTCACTGTTTCATGTTGTAAGATGCCACTACAGAAACATTTATAGTACATACCATTTCAAAAGACCCACAGTAAAATAAAGCCGCTACAAGTAATATGTTTGCATGGCAATGACAATGTGGAAGCAATGTGGCAATACAGACATATTTGTCTTATTTCTATCTTAGCTAACAGCTTGCAAAATAGTCAAGTGAAAAATGAAAGTTCTAATTTTCACCTTCTTTCATGCACCTGCTTTCCAGCCTTCTGAATAAACCCTCCTACTGGCGCATGTGTTTGGGGAAGCACCACATGAACTCCTCCGTGGACATTCCTTCAGCAGAGCAATGCTATAAGGTGGATGGTATCATCCGCCACAAGGGGTTCGTCTACGAGCAAGATCGCACTGACATCACCAATGACATAGCCCTGGTGCATTTGGCCCGGCCTGTCAACATGACGAGGGAGATCAGCCCCATCTGTCTGCCCACACCTGGGGCTGTGATGCCCGCTGGGACGCCCTGCTTTGTCACCGGCTGGGGAGACGAGAAAGGTAGAAGTGATCATGCATTTCAGTTTCCTGTAGTTTTAATGCTACTCCCGGAACTAGAGATCACTGCAGTTGTAGAAGTAAATGTATCTTTTGTTTGGTGCTTTCACTGTTTTTTATTTAAATTGGAAATGTGCATTATTTTTCATGTGCTGGGTGTTCTCCATGATGAGTATTGTGACCAGCAGCAGTAATGGTCTTGGTACAATGTGCACGATTAATGCTCTATTTTTTTCTGATGCCTTGGCATGATTGCTAAAGATAAAAACAGTCTATATTGATGTAAATGTGTTCATCTCTTGTACAACAACATCAACTTTTCCTTTTCACTTATGTCTCAGGTAACCTGTTCCCCAAAGTGTCTGAGAAGCTAAACCAGGCAGCCCTTCCTATTGTTGACTTCCAGACCTGCAGTAAGCCTGCTTACTGGTGGGACACCCTCAGACCCTCCATGATCTGTGCTGGTTATGAGTCCCCAGATGAGCTCAAGTCAGCCTGCCAGGTGAGAGGACACATTCAGAATAACTATTTAAATGGATACACTGAGACTTTTTCATGCGAGGATGGTACTTGGTCGTTGACATTCTCGTCAAGTATTTCTCAAACATTGTGTAAGTGTCCTGGCCACTCATGATTGGGCCGTCTGTTATGTAACACCCAGTAAAGTGTTTTGTTTGTGATCAGTCAGCCTTGATGGCGAATGGCTGCCCGGTTTTCCGGCGTAATTGGACAAAAGATAAAAACATTATTTGTTTGCCATAATGAGCGAATGTGCAAGCAGGAACAAGGGAAATTTACAAAAAACACTTCAGAACAGTACTGAAGGATTTTAAAGTTCAATAGAGTTTTACAAAACACAACCCTGACATTTGCCTCCCTAAAGAAAACTGTCACATGTTTGTAAACGATTGACCTTTACAGATTCCAGGGCACAGAGATGATATATAGTGAGCTGCCAAAACCAAATGTTCACCAGTGCATCTTCTAACCAGTGCAGTACATCTTTGGTGACTTACTCGTGCTCTCCCATAGGGTGACTCTGGAGGTCCCTTTGCCTGTGCGGCGGCTGGAACGAACACAACCTGGGAGGTGCATGGTGTCGTCAGCTTCGGAGCTCAGGGTTGCATCAAAGACAAGAAACCCTCAGTATTCACCCGCGTCTCTGCCTTCAGCGATTGGATCAGCGACAACATTAAGAAGTTTATATATGAAAGTGGCAAAACCAACTAAAGCGCATGTCTTGAAATAAAGATTAAGATTCCTATCTGTTCAAAGTCATTGTCGCTTTTTATTTAGGGTTCACCATTAAGTAGTGCTGTCTGCTGAAGTATGCTGACTAATACCATTAAGCTATAAGGCATCTCCTCTCGCAGTGAGAATACTGCATCAGAACAACTATATTTAATACTATATTAATACTATTAATATACTTTTTACAGTATAAAGTTTAAAACAACATTGCCCCAAACATTTTAAGGAAATAAAGATAAACAATTCTACTATTGTTCTCTAAACTCAGAGGGCTGCTTTGTCAAATGGAGCAATAAGTTGTACTAATAACTGATTGAAACTATAAACTTCACATTGAATTTGTATGATTTTATAGGGCTTTAAACTACAAAAAGAGTAAAATTACAAATAATTACAATGTTAAATTCTTTATTATTATTATTATTATTATTATAATGTTTTGTATTGCGTGAAATGATATGTTATACTATGTTATACTATGCTATACAAAGTTATAGTAAACATTGCAGCCATGTTTTATTCTTTAAAATGGAATTTAAAAAGCTATTATTATATATATTATACTATAATTACTTTGTTTCTCTTCAGGCCGACCTCTCCGTACTTACAGGCTCCCTCCTCTTTTCTTCCCTCATTTGCAGACATATGAGTCCTGCAGGCACAGATTTAAAGTTTTGGGTTTTAACCCCTTAATCACATGATCAGACCTGTCGGCCAATGGGAGAGCTCGTTTCAGATTTCAGCCCAAGAGGAGAGAGGGGAATAAAGAGAGGAAGAGAAAGAGACACGCACTGATCTGTGCTCGTGGGTCAGTCCGCCGGTATTGACAGCACTTCTTTACACTCTCTCCTGCCGTGGATTATCTGCCTTGTATTTTTTTGGGAGTGTAACGATGGCACATTTGAGAGCAAAAGGGATTCCCACTGGGAAAAGTCCCGGAGTGTGTCCTGGAACAGAGTGAGAAGAGGAGGAGGGGAGAGAGCAGAAGTTTTTTCCCCTCATCTTTGCCTCTGCAGGCGTTTCTTCTGTGGGAGAATGGGGGCAGGAGCTCTGACCATCTGTGTGAGTAGAAACTACAAAGCATGAGTTGCCTCAAAGACTTCAACCTGTGATTAAGGGCTAAAGAAAGCATAGCGGGACTCTTTTGTGACGGTATAGAATGGTCTAGTAGAAACAAATGGCTTTTAAAAATGTCAAGTAGGGACACATTTTTCTTCCCCTCCGTAAATAAAACGGTGCTCTCTAAATACAAGACTGCTGCCATCAAGATAAACACTTTCGCTTGCGGTCCTAACGAAGAACGCAGATCCCTTGTCAGCACTACTTTAAGTCTGCCATCCTGGTGCAACAGTGTAACAGTGCAAGAGAAAAAAGAAAGGACAAATACACACTGTAGCTTCTTGTTTCCTGTAGGTAATTTCTTCCTGGCAATGATTCACTGCCTCAATGAGGTCACTTTCCACAAAGTTTCCTTTAATGGAAGAAGTGTTTTCACAAGAACTAAACCTCTGTGACGGACAACGTTTTGTGTCATAAAACGGCACGTCTGTAGCAGTGTAGTTTCTTTGAGTTGAGCAGCTGTTTCTTCTGGTGCTAGTGGTGCTTTTGCTCCCAGTGACCACCCACATAGGGAGAGAGAGAGGGGGAGGGTGGAGGTTTTAGGGAAGGAGGGCACATGCTTGGGCTTGCTATCATCTTCATGAACAAGTTTAAAGACACAGGAGATTGCCTTGCCTTGTTTTTCTGTGTGTTTCACATTTTCAAGAAACTACTTCATCTGTACAAAATGTTTCAAAGAAGTATTTTTGATCCGACACTTAGACATGTTTGAAAACACTTCTCAAGGGTAGAGAGCAAACTTTCAACAGCTTCCAGAGTCTCTTTATAGTTGCTTGACAATAGCTTTGTTTTCTCACTGTTAGAAGTTGTAGTGTGAACATATTTAAGGATGGGGGGAGGGGGAAGAGGATGAGGATTATTAGGCTAATCACAGCAGACCGTCCTGGTAAACAATGGAGACCAACAGGAAGTGCTTCCTTTCATTCCTGACTGTTTTATTTCTCTCCGGCTCTGTAGCTGTCTTTTTGTTGTATTGCCAGGGACACTTTAACAAAAACCTTAAAAGTAGCTGTAAACACTGAAGTTCTGATTATCAACTACAGCGCTTAACAAAGGGACAGCACTGAGGGAGTAGTGTGCGGTTTTGACTCAATTCATGAGTACTTTCACACTGAAGTACTGACAAAAGCACAAGTATTTATTTGCTCACAACTCGGGTTTTTTACATGTGGTCCAACACCTCAGCTCAGCTTTTATTACAAATACAAATACTGCCTGCAAATTGATTTAAATGAGTGTTTTCTCAATTGAAATTGAAATACTTGCAGAAAGTAAGCGATATCGCTGAATTAATAAAGTAAGCTCCATGTTAAATCCCTTCCAGAAATCATTTATACACATGTGGTTTTGTTGGATCCTTGTGGTTTGTTTTATCTTACCAAGAGTCATTTCTATTTTTGTACTTTTGCAAGTTTTTTCTTATATTGTGTTGTGGATGTCCACTTTATTATTGATCCTTTTATTGCTATTCTTAATGAATCTTCTCTATAGATGCGTTGAAGTGCAATATTTCCACGCTTTGTATTTTTGGAAGTTATTCTCATGAATGCATGTATTCCTATATGCATCCTGCAGTGAGAATGAGCCATGTGTGTGTGTGTGTGTGTGTGTGTGTGTGTGTGTGTATGTGTGTGTGTGTGTGTGTGTGCGTAAAGACAGATTTAGGGGACATCTGTTCAGTCCACAGTCAGACCTAGCTCAGACTGGCTTAACCCCTGCATGAGTAGTAGTAGTAGTAGTAGTAGTAGTAGTAGTAGTAGTAGTAGTAGTAGTAGTAGTAGTAGTAGTAGTAGTAGTATTTGAGCCAGTTTGCAGACCTGAAAGGCTCAACTCAACCATTGCTCCTTAATCTGTGCTGTGGCCAATTAACATTAAAGAATCAGACAGTTAGTATACCTACCCAAACTTCTTATTCATACAGACTTTTAATATTCTCCAACACCTGAAGACCAAACCAGTGTATTATTATTATTATTATTATTATTATTCAAATACAGTTTGTCAGTGCAGTTTAGCACATACGTGTTACTTTTCAGGTAGAAATCCAAGCATTCAGAATTAAAATTCAAGTGTGCTTAATCACTATTTCACATTCATCAGGAAGATACAATTGGCATATTTGCATGCACCTGTCACAAAGGAGTCGATGACTGAGCACCAATAACACATTGTCTGCATAAGCTTGTCAGACACATGTAGTATTAATGCTGCCAGAGCATCTGCCATGAAAAAGATCTTGTCTCCTCAGCCATCTTAGCACCATCTGGAATGTGGGTTTTTAATCAGCTGATCTGAGCGTGGCACACGCTCAGATCCATGTTTAAACAATCGGCCACATGGGACATAAATTGAGTGGTGCTTCCTCTTCACCAACCAATTCCCTACATGGGCAAACCACTGTGTCACTGTGGACCTCATTGTGACGAAATCATAGCCAGGGCCTCTCATGTCATTGTGCGGGTCAGCTCACCCGTTTGAAGCTGTGATCTCGGGAACAAATATGTCACATGGTGTAGTCGTAGCTATGGGTACGAGAGTTAAACTGTGTTGTTTTGATGTGCAGGAAGTCTTTTCCTCTTCGCCCAGTGTCCGAAGTCTGCGTCTGGTTTGTGTGTCTTAACTCTCTTGGTTCCTAGTACTAATTAAAGAAAGGCAGAAATGCATTATGCTGCAGTTAAAAGTGCTTAACAAATGAGTAACTCTTACCCTGCTCTTTCTAATGTTGGCTTGTTAAAGGGAGACTGTGTGTGCACTCAGTGTTTACACTCAGCACGTGGCACTGTTTGCTTTGACAAGTTCTAAGATAACAAATACTTAACAGCTGGTGAATTAACGCACTAAATACATGCTTTGACTCTCGTTTACAAGGTTTGTCTACTTTGGGGAATGGGTTAAAATGGGCCATTAGAGCACAGCAGTGGTGCAAAGTAACAAAGTACATTTACATTTTATTCACTACATTTTAGGGAAAAAAAAAATACTTTTTACTGCAATGCATTTAACGTGACAGCAATGTTTAACAGTTACTTTAAAAAAATATATTATTTTTTATAAAATGTCATGTATGAGCTATATTAAACTACTCATCAGTACATAAAGTGATAACATCAGCTCCTCAACCAGCTATTACATTATTACACATTTTCACAATAATATCTTAATAATAACAATCCAATGAAGTAATAATAATAATATAATTAAATAGTATATAACATACAGGTTATATTTTCTGCATGCTAGTAGTAGGAGTCATTTTTACTGTGAGTACAATATGCTGTCAATACTTCCATACTTTTACCTAAGTAAAGGATCTGAAAACTTCTTCCACCACTGGACACAGTCACGCACACATTTCACTAGATTAAAATACCTTTCTGTTCAAAAAGCCGACCCTTGAATGCTTCCCTCTCAGTTAATATATAAGCTTCAGGCACACAATGTTTAATGTTTTCTCAGTATGAAGTGGACTAATCATCCTTCCACATTAACATTATTGTCATGGATAATGCAGCTGGCCATCCCCTCACCTTTACATGTGTGCACATACAGTACGTCTATTTATGCAGGTGTTTGTGCCACTCTGACAATGCCTTTGACCAAAGGTGTTGCGTGGTAACCTGATATTTGTCATAGCAACACATGCACGGCCATCCCTCCCCAGCTCTAAGAACACTCTGTCCTCTAAGTGCATGACAGTATGACAGTGCATGTATGGACTCCACGGGGACACCATCACCATCCACATACACACACACACGCACACACACACACACACACACACACACACTTTTTAGTTTGCGGAGCAGAGAGAGCCTCCCTCCACCAGGACAGGTGTCTCTGTGGTATCTGAGCTGATGCACCCTATGCTCATAGCGTCGGTGGCTGACGGCTGCTCTCTGTTCTTCTCTCTGCAGCACAACAAGACAGCGGTGCAGGTTAAAGAAGACATGAAGAAGATGGTCCAGATACCCATACTGCGACCCATGACAGTGACAGCCAAGTACACCAAGCTGTTTGGAGCGTCCCTGTCTGAGCTGCAGGAGAAGGGTCTGGTGGAGGATGGTGTGCCTCTGGTGTTGAGGAGGATGGTTGAGCATCTCCGTAAGCACGGTGAGGAAAAAAACAACGGAATAGAATAGAGCAAAGGAAGCACTGTAATGCTGGATCATCTTATTTAAGATACAATCAAAATTGGCTTTTTTGTTTTTGATGAGTGGGCACATTAAGTGCCCCATTCAGAATTTCACAGATGTAATAAATGATAGAAATGTATCAAGAAATATTATCAGTTTTAGAAGTAGTGATTTCCTCCAAATAAGTCAATGTGTTATGAATCTAACATGTTTAAACCTTGAACAGATCTTACAAGGGTTACTAAAGCCTGATATAAATACAGAGGATTTATTACCATTTGCAGTTTCAGTGATGCAATAATCAGAGATATCATCAAGTCAACCCAAATACAAAGTGGTTCTCTTAGACAGGTGAGACAGAGTGGAAAAATGCTCGGCAAATTTTTTAGAGAAAGGGGGAAAAAAGACGCGATGCAATATGAAATAAAAACACACACAATACTTAAAAGAACAATATTATCAATCCCACCTAGATAATCAATGTCATCAATGTGCTCTCAGCCCAGATGATAACAATAAAGATAGAAGAAAAAAAAAAAGACTTGATGACTGGTTAGGTGTCAAAAAGATATAGACAAAAATCCAAATTTGCCTACCCAAATATGTATGGTATACATCATTTGTACTGAAAAAGCTAAAACTTGAAAAAACACTGGATTGGTACTTGGTGTTGACCTACTTTATCATATTCCGTAGTTCTTCTGTTTGACCGCTAGATGTCAGTACAAGGAAGGGGAGCTTCTTCCTTATGGCTGCTGAAACTACAGGCCTCTTGTTGAATGACATTTGACTTAATCTGTCATACCTCAGCCATGGATAAAGACTATAATAAGGGGGTGACTGCTTGATTATAAAATAGTAATAAAGCATCCTCCAGGGAAACAAATCTCTCTAGGTTAGGGTTACGGTTAATTAGTTAGGCCCTAAAGTGTCTGCCTCAGGAACTATGTTTTGGGTAGAAAGTAGTTCCAGATAACTGTAATTAAAATTCTTAATTAATAAAAAAAGGGGCAAATATAAACAAAATTTAAAAATGTTAATGACTGGATATCACTAGAGTTTAAAAAATATTTCTAAACTATTAAATTATGCTTTCTCTGCAAATGTCAAGATAGTCAAATATCAAGTTTATGTTTAGATATATTCATTGTGTAACTTTAAGTAGAAACTTTGACCTGATGATTGTGCTACATGAAAGATCAAGGGGTCAGATCAATTTCTCCAAATCATCCTCTGAGGAAAAAAAACAAAACATATATGGATATAATGGCAATTTGCCATTTAGTTGCTTTGATAGTTGTTAAGATTGCTTGGACCATTGCTGGCCAACATCCTAAAACCTATAGCAGGACCTATAGAATCAGCTAAAGACTGAAACATTATTTTAGCCTTTTGTGGAAAACATGATAATGAAGCCAACATTTGGGGGACAGCTGATTTAATTCCCCCCCTAGTTAGCACTCTTTTTGAATAGTTGACAGATAGGCTGTCTCTTAATGGCATGAGTTAACTGTATGTTTCTCTAACTTTCCTCCAGCCTTGCATCAGGAGGGTCTGTTCAGAGTGAATGGCAATGTGCGTGCCGTGGAAACCCTGAAACAGCGGCTGGAGAGTGGAGAGGATGTGGACCTTCTCTCTGAATCTGATTCATGTACGGTGGCCAGCTTGCTCAAACGGTACCTAAGGGACCTGCCAAGGGGTCTGGTAGACCCAACAGTCCAACAGGCGCTGATACAGCATTATCAAGGTAACAGAAAGTAGTTGCTGCTGTTCCAATTCTGTCTCATGTGCCTCTTTGTCTTCTAGAATGATCCTACCAGCTCAAACTGATTCGTTTTTACATGTTTAAACCATCATGTGATACCTTTTCTGAACAACTTCCCAAATCCACGTTGTGACATTTATACCCTCGCAAGTGGAGTGAATATCTGGGTCTTGACTCTGATTAGATGATGAGCAAAGTTATCTTTAGCTACTGTACTGTACTATTAGTACTGCAGTCATCTGCAACAGGCAGGGGATAGAAAGGCACTGCAGAGTTAAGTGTTTGTGTGTGTGTGTGTGTGTGTGTGTGTGTGAGAGAGTGATTTGGCAGGTGAAGTGTCTGTTCACTCTCCTCCATCACTGGGTTCAATCTGTTTAATGTGAGGAAAGCACACATTTTAGCTGCAGTATTTCTATTCCTTCACAGACCCCATAAATATCAGCCTATTTTTCAGGGACTTTGGCCAAATGCTGCATTATATAACATCTCTTTGGTGCAAGACTTGGCCATAACTAGTGACTAAAATGATTGTACTGTACTTTGTAAAATCAGTTGGACCTCCTTGCCAGTATTTGGCAAACTTTAAAATATGATGATTGGGTTACGGCAGATGAAGTTGCAGATTGAATAGCAGTATGATAAAATATATATACACATCGATCGACCAATACATTTCCTCAATTAAGTTGCACATGTCGATAAGGACGGTAAGACTTAAGACTTAAGTTTCATACCATTATTCCGTTACTATATTCATAATCAATTAAACATTTTTGAGTAATTTATCCAGTTAAAAAGTGCAAACATTTTCTGGTTACAGCGTGTTGAATGTGAGGATTTTTACATTCCTCAATTCAAAATGTTGAAATTGAATACCTGCGAGGGTTATAATTAGCCAGTTATATATGTCACATTGAGCTCTGGGAATCGTGATGGATATTTGTCATTATTTTGGGGAATTTTTATCCGAAATGATTTACCAATTAATTTAGAAAAACTATTGACAGATTAACTTATAATGAAAATAATCATTTCGTTACAGCTCTAAATGGTTTCTATTCTTGATTTTGGCTTCTAACAAAACTGTATTCATTAACAGCTTTCTATATTGTAAAAAAAAACACGTAACCACATAACAATATCTCCAATGTGTGGTTTTCGCGTTTGCATAGTTGTAACATATTACGGTTACCCATAGCCAGTATTTTGGTATCAGTGTTGGCTTATTTTCCATATATTAGGAATGCATACATGCACACCTTTGCAGCTGAATGTGTATCTTATGAGCCACGCGTACAAAGACAGCACAGTAACACACTGATCAGTTAGTCTGAGGCGCTCCACTCAATGTGTAGATTTATTAGATAAATAAAGTATGCCAAAATAATACATACACAGTGTACACACACAAATATGAATGAACCAAGCATGCTCAGTTTACCGCTTTAGCAGGCGATAGCTGATTACGACAAATTAATTTAACACAGTACAGCGTTTTCATCTTTTTTCGTAAAAACAATATCATAATAATGTAATATGGCATAGGTGTTGCCTTTTCCTGTTTCCTGTTCTATTATTTGCCTTTACCCAATTAGTCAGTATATCCACATTACTGAGGATTATCCATCAAAGATCTCATTGTGTAAGTATTTTGTAAAAGCCCCAATAGTCAATACAATATCGTCACAATGTTGATGTAATTCATTTCAAAGCAGTTACAATTTTTTGTCCACCATTTTTCTCTGCATTTTCCCCCAAATTACAAAATCATGGTTGATGCATAACAATGTCATGTTTTGGTTTGTTTTTAATTGAAGTAAAATAGATAACACTCGTGCTACCTTTTATTTTAAGTGTAAAACATTCAAACTAAAATGTGCAGTTTCTCACCTTAAATTCATAGAATTCTGCTGGTCCCTATGTCCATCACATTGTATGTCATTATCTGCAGTGATTTGGTCCTTTGATTGTCTGCCTTTATGTTGGTCTATCTGTTAATGTGCGTTCTCTTTGTTTAAGGGGCCTCTACATATGTATAATAGCTTGAAGTGTTTTTTTTTCCATCGCTCAATGTGTGTTTGTTGAATGTACTAACCTGCAAAAAAAAAAACGACCATGTACTTTTCAGACTTGTGCACACACATAAGAACTTCACTCAGCGGCAGCAAGAGTAGTTGTGATCGCTCTAAGCATTATTCCCTCCATCACGCTCTATTTACTCAGACAGACGGGCACACATTCTTGCTTTCATATACGTGCACACTAACACACGTAGGCGCACGCTCTTTTGCGTCACTCATTCATTCGGGATCAGAAGCCATATCCGTTTATCCAACTCTGACCTAATTATGTGTCCGGAGTAATAGCATCAACATACTTTCAGGCTTTTTGCTCTAATGCTCACGTATTTACCACAACTCAAGATTAGATATTACAGAAATCAGGTGGACGGAGCTGTCACTGCCTGCTGGAGACCAGCTGTCACCCTATTTACTAAACTGAGAATGTGAACGTGTTTCACTAAAAGCATCTATGTTTTATGCTTTCCTGCTCCAAAGTAAATCAAGTCGGTTGTGTCACTCATCATTTAATTCTTGGTCATTTCATTGTGGCCAAAAAGACTTCATGTACTGGAGCATTTATCAACCTTTGTGCTAAAACATTGAAGCCAGAAGTTGAATGAAAATTGAGCAGGATCCCAACCTTTGACCTTTTCTGATATCTGATTGTGTGTCTACAGAGTGCGGTGATGATGTGTCTCGGTCAGATATGAGAGACCTGCTCCAGCAGCTTCCAGACGTCCACCACAGCCTCCTCCGCTACCTCTGCCACTTCCTCACCCTTGTGGAGTCCAACCACAAAGAAAACCGTATGACCGCCCTCAACCTCGCCACTGTGTTTGGACCCAGTGTCTTCCAGTGAGTTGAACCTGTTTTTTAGGTAGATGTTTTGCCAAGGTGTAAAAATAAACATCCATGGTCCAATCTCACCATCACGTCAGTATTCTCTTTTTGCCTTGTATAATATGCGTATATAACAACATTGAAGTATTTACTTATATTGACAACAGTTTTATTGAAACTTTAATATCTTTCCACCTGCATCAATTGATGTTTTAGCCTCTTGGGGCTCCTCAGCAAGCAGTAAACACCACATTGACAGATTATATATCATATGATATGTTGATACTATATAAAAATATCATATGATTGATAATGTTAGAATGAACATGTTAGAAAATATTTGCCTATAAACTCATTCAACAGATACAAAGCAACATTATAGCATTCATTTAGAGTCGTTTCTTCGCCGACCTGATTAACTCAAGTCCAATATTCACTCTTGTTTTGGTCTCCACCAACTTGTGAGGGAAATATTTGGCTCTTTAGCTGCTAAATGTTGTACTTTGTTCACCAGCTCATTGTTAACTTTGTCTGTCTACCATTTGGGGGTGAGCATGTGGCGTACAGTCAGTTTATCATAGAAAATATATTGAATATCTTATCTTGTCAGATAACTGCTGCTTGTTGCTGCTGGAAATGAGGTTGATGAGAGTGATACAAAGCAATGAGCTCAAATACATACGTATATAGAAATGTTACAGTAAAAACTGAAAGAAATCTTAACTTATTCCATTGTCATATAAAAATGTTTAATTTGTTCCAGTCAGTAAAATCACTTTATACTTGCATCATTATCATACTAACAATCAAATTTCCAACTGGGTTGTGGTTAAATGAATGCCTCAGTCTCACATTAGTTTTAATTTGTCACATTCAAGGGCAGAGGAGGCAACTTGACGTAACAACAACTAAACATCACAGCATTTGCAGTCATGTTCACTAAGAACATAACTGACATTCCTGAAGGTTTTGGCAAGGTTGTTGTTTTTACTGTGACCTTTACAAAACTTTAGTTGTTGCAGTCTGTAAATAACAGAGTGAGACAACTTGGCTTAGTCCAGGAAAAAACAGGCAGGCAGACAGTCCTGGTGGCTAAAGCGGAGGGATTCAATCCCCTTTCCCCTATTTCTCTTTAGTGAGTCAGATATTAAACATTGGTTTCATATGTCAGAGCGGTAGGATGGGTAGAATGATGAAAACCTCAAAACATGCAGTACATATTGAGTGAGACAATGAACCAGTCAAGTCTTACCCACAGACATTGCAGCTGTCTTTTTCGATACGTGAAGACAAAAAAAAAAAGTACTTGTTTACTTGTACATTTTTATTTCAGAATGGAAGAAAAACTCAGACTTCACAGTGCAGGCAATATTGGGGGAACACCTATGTAGGTTAATCACGAAAAAACTGGCAAATGTATACTTAAAAAACACAAATGAGTCTAAAAGTATGAACATAAAAGTTAGAATACATATTGAGAACATGGGTTTGGCCAGCAGGTGGTGCTGTAGCTTATTTAAGATAAAATCATGACAGTGTAAAAGTTTGCTTGTGAGGCTTACTTGACATTAAGTGGCAATACATTTTCCTTGAATCCATTTATACACTTCTTAACATTTTGCCAGACACCTGTATTTAAACTACTGCATCAGATATTCGTCATAAAAAATTGTTCCATGGTGTCATTATGTTTTCAACTGTTACTATGATGTTCATAAATAAATGATGCATCAGTCGCTTCACATGCCTCCATGCAGCCGCTGAATAAAGTACCCCCGTTCTCACTGGTCTATTTATGATGGGCTTACCGGGCAGCGAGTTTCAAATCATACTCGTACATGTTGACCGACAGCTACTGTTTTCCAAACTGGTGACTGGTGGGCAACTTCCAGTAATAAACTGGGGTGTTCAGGCCAGAGAACCCAGCATGATATCAGATGGGACCTTACTGGAAGGAATAGAGAAGAAGAAACTGCAGTGGATACTTCATACTGTACAAGCTGTTCTCTTAATCAGAGGCTGTGTGTGTGTGTGTGTGTGTGTGTGTGTGTGTGTGTGTGTGTGTGT